CGTTATCAGACTGGTTTTCACTGGTTCCCGACACATTTTCCAGATGACTGTGGTTTGTTTTTGGTCCGACTTGCCATAACCGAAATACTGCCAGACTGCCGAACTACAAAAACAATTTCCTCCGCCTCTCCTTGCTGCACATCTTCATGTGCTCTGTGTTGTGGTTTATCAACCCTCTTTTTTTCTATTGCGCCACACGTCTATCGATCGATATATATCGTTATTGAATTATCGCCCAGCCCTAGTCTTAGTGTAGTCTCAGTGGGACAAAATATAAATACACACCACACTTTTCAGAATTTCACTGGTGAAAAAAATACAAAATCAAGCAAACAAAAACATAACTTCTATTTTTCAACTATCTACACTGCAAACAATTGAAATATTAATAATTCGTTTTTCTTAAAATCCATGCATTTTGTTATGAATTGAGGAGGTAAGAGACCCTTTGCCAATGGAATAAGACTATTTATATTTAAAATAAGAAAAAACAATTGCATTGTCTTATTTCAAATGCATATTATCTGAGTATCTTATTTTAAGAGTAAAATACTCTACATTGGCAAATCATTGTATCTATCTACTCATTTAAGGGTAAATACACTTAATTAAAGAAATGTTTACTTATTTCTAGATAATCTTTGCAGTGTACTTTTTTTTTCAGGCTGTCACATCAAACCCAATAAAAAAACTTAAAATGTGTGGTTTTACTGATGTTACTACTTCTGCAAGGCAACGTATAATCAGTCTGTAGCTTGTTAAAGATTAACATGAGATTCCTATTGGTCTATTAATGACAGCAGGGCTTATCATGGAGGGGTTTGTCTTTCAAATACATTTTGGTACTTAGTTGTGCCATTTTGTTCTTCCCTAAATAACATATTTCCATGTATTTATGGGTATAAAACTTCAAGGATGACCTGCTTTAGCCTTTGCTAAGATATCTTCTCTCCTACTGCAGTTGTTGTGTAGCTTAGTAGTAGTAGTGTGTGTAGGCATTTAAAATGCAATGATCAAGTGCATGGTAAGAGTAAGGAGGAGGAGGAAGGGGGAGGAGGGGGGGTAAAGCCTGCTAATCCTGCTGTCCTCAATCTCTGGCTGAGAGTCCCTGAGGAAGGGACAGGACTGACGCGCTCACCTCCTCTCCTGCCAAAAACCTTGTCTGCCTGGAAAGAAGTCTAATCAGATTAAAGAGGCAAACTTTTCTCCTTTTTCTGCATCCGCTGGAAAGGAAAGAAAGGAAGGATCAATGTTCAATTTGGGAAAATTATAAATTTTTGCCTGAGTTAATCCTATTTTCTTGGATTTAAAATAGCAACCATGAGCGCTGAGGAAAACTCTGACCCTGACTCCAACAAGCTGGAGTCAGTGATACAGGTGAGGCTCAGCAGGGCTCCTGGATCAGTGGTTTCATTATGTGCTGACAGGTTGTGACAACTAAAGCTGCTCGTTCTGCATGTTTGTGTTTGGGGCTGCGTAGCTGTGGCGATCCCATCATCATCACCTTTATGTTAGCTACACTGCGTCTTCCTCTTTCATCTATATCTGTGTGTTGTGTACATCAGCGGCTGGGGGAGAGTGTCCTGTCTGAGGAGAAGAGGCTGACCATCCGGGGCCCCTCACCTGATGCCCCCCCTACATGTCTGCCAGCAAGAGTTCGAGAGATAGTCACCAAGAACCTCAATGATAGTGAGTGGACTGTCCATCATTAATCTAACCATCAAATCCTCTATTTCCTCTGCCCTGATGGCTGCCCTTTATCCCTCCGTGTGCAGCAGGAGCCATGTCCTCCGTCATGTCCCTTCAGGAGGAGAACAGGGTGCTGCAGGGAGAGCTGGCCAGACTGGAGGACCTGCTGGCCCACAGCAGAGCCGATCGGGACGAGCTCGCCATCAAGTACGGGGCCATCAGCGAGAGGGTGAGGGCAAAAAACCAGCTCCTATGTCGGGCCGAGGCTGAAAAAGTGAACTAGAAATCAGATTATTTAGAAACCCTCCAGGTGTTTTTGGTCTCAGCAGGCATCAAGAAGAATGTTCTTCCTCTACCCCCGACCCCCACCCCCCTCTCTCCACTTCCCCCATTTTTTTTTTATCATCCTGGTTTGTCTTTGTCTCAGATTTGTGGGTCTCCCAGGTGATGGGGGCTGGAATGAAGTGAAGTGGAATGTTGCCATAGCGTCTGTCGCCCTGGGTGACCGTAAACAGGGGCTTCACAGTTGTAGGAGGGGTGTGCTGATGGGTGGGTGGCTTCATGACTCGTTTGGGGTGAACATTAGCAGACATCATCACATAAACCTGTTCTCAAAGGCTGATCTGCACTTTTTAAACAAGCTGTGAACATAAACAACCTCTTCATGTAATGTCTAAACAAATGCTGGTCAGACGTTTGCATAAACTCTCTAATTTTTGGACTTAAAGATGCATTGAAAGATTATACACAATTTAGTTGCAAGAATAGAAAATGAAGATAGAAATAGGTGAATTTATTTTCGATTAATGATAGAGGTGAACATGAAAATATGTGGTTTCACGTCACATAACAGGTTGCAGCAAAAGCACAAGAAAATAAACAGACAAAGAATAATACTTTTGTGGCTAAGTCATGGTTTTGTCATTTTCTTTTGCATATTCAATCATTACTCCAGACAGAAATGGAACAGGTTATTTTGGTTATTTTGGTTTTCTGGCATACACCCAGCTTTCAGGCATAGTTCATACATTTTAAAAATTATCTTTTCTGTTCCAAACCTCATCTCTGATGTGTCTTTGGAAACATTTAACAACCATCTAAATATTTTTAACATGAAGATCAAAAGCTTAAAGTCAGTCGTATTTCCTTAGGAACCCCACAATACTTAACAGCTCACACAACCTTCTTAGACTGGAGGAATAACCAGCTACCGTAATGATCGTTCCAGCTGACCCTTAACCTTTCTCCAGAAGAATGGTTATAATTGAGCATTACTTCACCACCCTCTCAGGCCATGTTGGGTAAACTCTTGCTTAACCATGGATGATCATGCCGATGTGCCGGCATCTTCTAGAGGATAGGTAACAAAACTCCTTCCATATCAAGGTGGCAGTGTACATGGTTGGGTCATATGCTTCTTGCTAAGGTTGCACACTGATATATTTCAGCCTTTCTGATGTTTTTCCTCCTTTGGTGAAAGAAAAATCTAAATTCTTGTTTTTCTTTGTTAATGCATAAAAGTCATTCTCATAATTGATATCTTCTCAGTCAGTTCTTTTTTGTATTTTTTTTTTCTCCTGTGTCCAACGATGATATTTTGATCTTCCACTTTAGATGCGATGCATTACTTCTTATTTGCACAAACCTGACAACAACTAAACCCCAGTCAAAACCAACAAAATGGCAACCATGATGTGTGGAATAGATGAGGTGTGAAATAGATAAACCAGATCCACATAAAGTGCATGTAACCACCTTTAAAGTTCCTTTAAAAGATCAGAAACTTCTGCTTTCTATTTAAAGCTGACACCTTTCTCTTGTCAGAAGAGTGCAGAGCAAAGTGGATTCAGTATTATTGAGCTGTCTCTCGCTTTTAGCTGGAGCAGGCGCTGCGGTTCGAAACAGGAGAGGGCGACCACGACTCCCCGGAGTCCCGCAGCCTTGCTCAGCAGAACGTGGATCTGCGGCGGCGTCTGGACGAAGAACAGGCGGCCTACAAGCGTAAACTCACAGCTTATCAGGAGGGGCAGCAGAGGCAGGCCCAGCTTGTGCAGAAGCTGCAAGCGAAGGTAGACCTGGTTTAACTGGGAAGTATCCACTCTGAAGCAGACTGGTGACCATTCCTCTTCTTCTTTAGGTGCTTCAGTACAAAAAGAAATGCGGAGATCTCGAACAGATGCTTCAGGAGAAATCCTCCGAGCTGGAGAAACACAGTATCTGTGTAGGTGGCCTTCGCATCTATGCACTGAAGCTGTTTTCCATCCACACTGTTGTTTTCTTATAAAATCCTTTATTTCAGGGAGAAACCTCAAACGGTCGGCATCGGGATGAGGCGAGCAACAACCTGGAGGAAGCTTTAATCCGGCTGGAAGAAGAACAGCAGAGGTGATGCATCGTCACACCTGAGTGAATCATTCATATGAATGTGCAGAGGCAGGGCTAAGATTCACATATGTTTCTGAAAGAAGGGCAGGTAGAAGGCCAACATTGGCTGCTTCAAGGAACATGGGAACAGGAATACTATGCATTGAGGTGCTTTGGTTATACACGACCAAATATTTGCTTTCTCAACTGCAAGCTAAAAGAAATGCATGAAGGAAAACAACTTTAACAGCACAACATTATGAAGGCAGCATCAATATGAAGGGATGATTTCTCTTTAAATACGAGGCATGCCTGAAGTATTAACCATCTGACTAACGTGTAAGATAATAAAAGGGTTTAGATCACAACACTTTTATGCGTCTGATTGTTCCAGACCTAAATCTGTTTAATTATAAACGAAAGGTGCTGATTGTGCAAACTGACTGATTTTACAAAGAACAATGAGTAGGAAATGAAGGCTTAAATGTTTAAGATTAATAGGAAGAAACGGTCTTAGTTTTCTGGGTGAAATAAATAGAATCCACCTATTTTGTTTCTAAATCGCAAGTGTTGAGACGTAATTTACTTAACAGATAAAATGCATCATAGTTTGGGGTTGCAGCTTGACAGCATTTAGAAATAGTGAATAAAAGTGTAATACCATATTAGTAATACTTTTCTTTAGAAGGCTCATGCTGGAATTTTGTCTTACTGTTTGATCACGTGCCTTTTTATGGCTTTAAATTTTGAATCCAGCTTATCTATCTGTAGGTACATCTACAGGAAGGTTTATTTTTTATAGTATTCAAAGTGCATTACATTAATTAAAAGATACAATAGAAGGAACATAAAAGCAGAATAATGATAAAAGCAAGTACGGTAGTAACAAAAATAACAGTTGGATAACAACCTTAAACCAATGATACCTCAGTTAACCGTTTACCTTCAACAATCAAAGGCAGCTCTAAACGAAATGGTTTTTAACTTCGACTTAAATGAAAACAGGATTTCAGCAATTAAACAATCTTCTACATTATATGTTGTGTTTCATGTTTTTTGTCATAGGCTGAGTTCTGTGAAGAATTTCCCACACCATTAGCCATGATTGGGAAAGCTGGTGGGGACATAGTGAAATGTGACAGATGGGATTTTAAAGAAATGTGTCTCTGAATGAACATGCCAGAAAAGCAACAATGCATTAATATCAGGGATGTTTGAAATGTGTTTAGGAGCAGCAGCTTGGCTGCGGTGAACGCCATGCTGAGGGAGCAGTTGGAGCAGGCAGGTTTGGCCAACGAGGCCCTGAGCCAGGACATCCGAAGGCTGACTGTTGACTGGACCAAAGCCCGGGAGGAGCTGGAACAGAAGGAGTCAGACTGGAGGAGAGAAGAGGAGGTGGGAACGAGGGAAGTTATAAGAGCATTTGAATAAACGGGTTTAAATTCTGATAGCTTTTGTTTCTGGGTTGAAGTCTTTCCACAGCTACTTCAGCAGCGAGCACGGCCGGCTGCTGAAGCTGTGGAGACAAGTGGTTGGCTTCAGGAGGCACTTCTGTGAGATGAAGAGTGCAACTGAAAGGTCCACAAACTAATATGGACTAAACATTTCCTACAAAAGCTGCTCTCTCCCTGTGTCTCCAGGCTGTGATCTTCTCCCTGTGTCTCCAATCTCAGGGACTTGACAGACATGCGTTCTGAGCTGACCCGGATCTCCCACTCAGCTCGGGTGTCCTGCTCCGGCCTGTCCGCCTCAGTGGACAGTCGGGTGGCGGGAGAGAAGGCTTTGAGGACTGAGCTGGAGCAGCAGCTGAGGAATCGAGTGGTGGAGATGATGAACCTTCAGAGCAGAGCCGATGCAGAAAGGAGTGAGTTGAATCTCAGGTGAGTGAGGATCAGGTAGTGTGTTTACATGCACAGCAGAAAACCAGTAAAAACATTCTCTGTCCCAATATGGGAATGCGCACGTTTTGTCCAAGCGACTTCAAGCACCTCTTTCTCTTTGAACTCTCAGGTTGTCTGATGTAGTGCGAGAATGTGAGAGACTGAAAGGCCAAATTCTGGAGAGAGATGGTGAAATCTCTGTTTTGACAAGGAGGCTCCAGGTAGGAGAGCGGCCATAGAGGCTACTGCAGTATCCTAATGGATTTTCAGAATGCCTTTATCCTTTCTCTGCAGGAGGAGAGTTGCAGTGAGGACACTGATGCGCAGCAGGTCAGAGCTCACTCCGAGATGCTGCTGGACACGCTGCGGGACATCGCTCAGGTAGAAAACAGGCTATCACACCTGTGAATGAAAGTTTTCTCATCGTGCTGCGCCTCATGGCTATCTGCTTCTACAGACGGTTCTTTCAGACGGGGAGTCATCATCGGAGGCAGATCAGGACAGCTCTGCAGCTCCGTTCCTGGCGCTGATCCGCGACGCCTCCCCTCGACTTTCCTCCTCTCCTTCTAAGCTGGTGGCTTCTTCTCAAGCATCCTCGTTGTCTTCTCTGTCTGACGCAGCCATGTCTGCTCTCCGCTCAGCGGTCACCAACAAGACGCTGCAGCTGCAGGTGACGTATCCCCATAAAACTCTCCTAAAACTCCAGAATTGGGCAAAGAAAATTAGATAAAAAGAGATTTATTGATATTAAAGATATAGGCTAAGAAAAAAATGTAGTTTAGGGTGATGTTCTAAGTTTAATTGAGTTTACGCTCCTATTTAGCAAGAAAGAAACAGGAAAAAACATCCAGTGTCAAAGTTCCTCACCAAGCAAAGGAAGATATTCCTTATGCTTCGTCCTCTTTCTACAAAATAATACACAAAATCTAAAGTTGTTCATTCTGTATGTTCAATCAGAAATTCTTTATAGTTGTGACAAACTTAAGGTGTGGAATTTTGAAATGGATGGTGAGGACACTAACTTTTAGGTGATCAAAGCATTAAATATACTGCTTGTATCTCCATAACTTACCCAAATATCACTGATTTAATTACCTACGCGGTCAAAGTTGTTCTCTGTCCTGAAACCCATTTCTGTAGACGTTGCAGCATCTGGTGTAAATTTCTGTTTTCATAAAAACGTGCGTAAGCTGCACTGCTTACATCTTGTGCTGTAAACGCATCTGTTGTGCTTAAACCTTCAGAAACCAGTGTATCATAATTCAACTAGTAGGAAATCAAAGTTAAGGTGGAGATGAGAGCCTGTGTGAAGAAGAGATGCATGTTTGGGATCGGAGAGGAAAAATAAAAACTGGTTTCTGTGCAGAAGTGCTTCAGCAGAACGACCATTAAAACTTCGGTCATGGGACCTCATGCATAAAAGAGTGTGGGGCTTTATTACTGAAAGGTAATAAACATTGTTGCCATGGTTATATTGACACGGTGGGAGCCTTTCAGCTATTTATTCTACTTTACATACTGATTTGTGGGAGGCAATGACGCTGTCAGGACACTCAGCGACTTTTTAAACACTTCTCAGGGAAATATGTTACAACCAACAACTTATTGAACAACATCAGCAACTCACTGAAGCAAACAGTTAAATATAAAAAGTCTGTCAGCTCGTTTTATTCTACAATGTTTGTATGAAGTTCAAAAGGCTCTGTCTGCTGCAGCTGAGCTCAGTTACCTGATTAATGCGGATCATTGTAATGATTAAAAAATCATTATTAATACATAAATATGACTCCCAAGTGTCTATTAGGAATACCGTCACCACACAAACAAGGGAAGTAGGTGTCAAGGTTTAAAATGCAAACTCCACTATTATTTAGAAGGGTAACAATTATGATTACAGCCTCTTTAAAGGGATCCTGAGTCTGCTGCTTCTGAAACACATTAGTGCATCATACATTTCTGCATGAAATGAAAATGCTTTCTATTAATAATAGCAAATAAAATGAACAGATCTCACTTTGTAGATATGAGTGCAGTTATAGAGCTGATTACATTTGGAAATGACTCAACTCATGATTTTATCCAGTTTTTTTATCTATTACAATAAATGTGTAGCTTTAAGAAAAAAAAGGATTTTACGGATGTGCATCTACATGATCCAAACAAATAATATTTACAGATTATGTCCGACTATCATCATATCCATCATATTTTAGGTGTATTACAGTGTTTGGGGATAAATGAGATCCAGTTTCATTATGAAACATGATGAAAACACATCAGGGTTGATCCTTTCTTCATTTTGAATTAAATTAATAGTCACATGTAGTTTTATTGGGTATTGGATTTGAGTAGATTGAGTGGCATGTCAAGAGTTTGCATGGATTGCTGCACACTTTCACGTAAAAATTTATTTTTATACATAGTGAGTTTAGCATGTTTTTCTGAGCAGATATGCTTTATATATAAGGCCTCTGATTACCAAAAAACGTCTATCAATGTTTCACCTCAGCGATCTCTGTGTTTGGTGTCATACCATCCAGAAGGTTAGTGCTAAATAATTTACTGCCATTAAAGTTCAATGTTTTTTTTTTAAATTGATACTAACAATGGAGTAACTTGAAACCTCGAGTAGGACTGACTATACATGTTCACGGATGGATGAATCATAACTAAACAGATTGAACATAAGTTAGCAGCTTTTGTTTTTTATTTACACAAACAAGCTGATGGTTGTGCTCCATCATGCCTCCAGGATGCCAGAGGCCGTCTGCTCTCTGCCCAGTCTTCACTACAACAGCTTCGAAAGCAGCTCTCAGAATGTGATTCGGCCCGACGAGACATGGAGCAGCGAAACCAGGTGCTGCAGCGAGAAAAGGATGCAGCTCAGAGAGAGAGGGAGTCCGCCCAGAAAGAGAAAGAGCGCCTGAAGCAAGAGAGGGACATGCTGGCCAGGTCAGTGTTCACTCTAATCCGCTTCACTGTTGCTTCCTGTCAGGGTCTTAATTGAATCCAACCTGCAGGGAGAAGGTGAAGCTGGAGAATAGTGTCCAGGCGGCGGAGAGCAGCAGCCAGATTGTCCAGATGGAGAGGGAGAAGCTTCAGCTGGCTGTGTTGGCTGCTCAAAGAGAACGAGAGCATGAGAGAGAAGAGAAGGAGATCGCCCTTCAGGAGAGAGACCGAGCCAAAGCCGAGACTCTGAGAATGTAAGCAGTGATTGAATGAACCTGTATGTGGTCTTCTGTGGCCTCTTTAGTGTAAGAAACAAAACGAAGTGCTATCTACACAAGCTTGGTCACAATCAAACCAACTCTTGTGGCTGAGGAGCATAAAACCATATAATTTAGAAATCAGTAACACTAAATGACCTCCAGTGTCTGGAATTCTGTCGCCTTCGAACAGACAGAAGCAGTGGGATCACAGTGAGAGTCGAGCTTCAGCTCAGCGTGGAGAGTTATCTGTGGTGAAGGAGACCCACCAGCAGGGGGAGGTTGAGAGGCAGCTTCTGGAGCGAGAGAAGGAGCAGCTGTCTGAAGCACTGGCTCGGGTGAGGAAGGGGACAGGCTGGTTTTACTGGACTTCTGTATATTTTTGTGTTTTCTATTTTCACCTTTTTTTGCTCTGTGTTTGCCGTTGAACCCTTCCCTTACTCCATAGGCCAAGAGCAGCATCACAGAGCTGTCCCTACAGCTCAGCAAGCTGCAGTCTGAGGATGCAGCTCTCAGGGACTCTGTGGTAAAGATGGGCAGTATGAATGAGGTCCTGGCCCAGGACAAAGTGGACCTCAACAACTACATCCTAAAGGTGAGAAGACTGCTGACCCTTTTAGAGGAGGCACCAAGCTTAAGATCATCTCCAGAAAAAAACACTATGTTAATTTACACCCTTTAAAATCTTTCATATTTGGTTGTCATATTGACAAACACTAAGAACATTTTATTTCTGTTTTTTTTTCTTTTTTTTGTGACAGAGAAATACAAAGTTCTACATAACTTTTTCAAAATAAATATCTGAGAAGTGTGATGTGCACACTGAAAAAAGTGACTTTTTGGTGCAGTAAACGGTAAATGGCATGTACTTATATAGCGCCTTTATTCAAGTCAGGAGAGTTGACCAAAGCGCTTTACACTACATTCATTCACCCATCACGCACACACTGATGGTGGCAAGCTACATTGTAGCCACAGCTGCCCTGGGGCTCACTGACAGAAGCGGGTGAAGTGTCTTGCCCAAGGACACAACGACACTGAAAGTCGGAGTCGGGGCTTGAACCATCAATCCTTCGATTTCAGGGCAATCTCCAATGCCCCTGTCGCCCTATTATTATTCGTCATAATCTCTACTCTATATTTTTAAGCTCCAGTAAAATGGAAATTTTTTATTTTTTTTATTTAATACATGAATTTTGGGGAAACAGTAAGTTTTACTTATATTTCCTTATACTATTTAAATGATTCTGCTCCGAGTCCAGACGTTACAGGATCACACACAGAGCAAGAGGTAGTCCCGACGAGGGTGCAACAGTGCTGCAAAAGCCTGCTAGCTGCTCATGGGACTGATATATGCCCTGAACATCGCATACCCTCCCACTTTGCGCCACAGTTTTTAAGTCTTCCAAAAACTTTTCCTGGAGTTGGATGGATTTAAACTGTCCCCAAAAGTAAAAACCCTGAAGTTGCTTTCCTAAATGCATTCAAAACTTTGTCATCTTAGGGTTGGAAACTCAACAATAAAAATGCAGCAAAGTTTTTGGGTTATAATGTGACCAAATGTGTTTCTTATGATGAAATGAATAATGTTCTTTGACTAACAAAACATGGTGTATAATCTTGTTTTTTCCCTAAGCATCTTATTCTTGTTTGGCTCTCAGCTTGAGGAGGAGAAGTCCCTCCTGCTGACTCAGAAGCGTGAGGCGGAGCAGGAGAAGTTGACCATTAGGGACGAGCTGGTCCGTCTGGAGCAGGACCGACTGGAGCTGCAGTCAGGCCGCGTCTCTCTGCAGCAGGCGCTGCAGGACACGGAGCAGAGCCGGGCTGGGATGGAGACTGAGCTGCGCAGTCTCAGAGCGGAGAGGCTCAAAATGCAGGAGAAGGTGGCCCAGGTACAGAACAGATTGATAAAAAAGTAAAGAAACAGAGGATTGCCAAACAGTCTGGAAAACTCTTGTTTTATTTCTTTCTTTAAGTATTTCATGGCCTTAGATTAATGTAACAGATTAAGAACTCTAGAGTCTGCCGATTTAAACTATGACTAGGACCCTGACAAACATGTAGACCTGATTGCCAGCTGTGGTCTTGCTGTTCGTTGGCAGCTTTGTGCCGAGGTGGCCTCCCTGGGCTCTGAGCTGAGCCTGGCTCAGGGGGAGGGCCAGAAGAACGAGGTGGCGTTGGAAGAAGCCGGCCGAGGTCAAGCGGAGCTGGCCCGGGACAAAGCAGCTCTGGTGGTCCAGCTGACAGCTTCTGAACGAGAAAACACTGTGCTGTCAGAGGAACTGGCAGCTTTCAGGTCAGCACTACTCTGTGATCATGTAAAAACTAAATACACCCTGATGCTGTAGGTTCTAACAACAATAATAGCTGCTGTAAAATAGATACAACAATACAAGAGCTTTTGCCCTCCCAGCTTATTTTTTTTACTTTTTTGTCCTGCGAACCTTCAGGTCTGAGCGGGAATCCCTAGAAACGAGTCTGTTTGAGGCACAGCAGCAGCTGGCTCAGGTTGAATCCCGCAGAGATCAGCTGGAGGCTGAGAATCAATCCCTGAGGGTCCGCTGCGAGACTGCTGCAGGTGAGCCCTAAAGATGAAGGTATAGTGGAGGATGTTCATTTTCCGAGTGAATCATCAAAATAAGTGGTCCTCCTAATTGTCAATCATTCTGATGATATGTTTACATGTTCTCGCACGTGTTAAATAAGCATTCCCTCTTGGGAGCAGGTACAGGTTGCTCATGTACATATTTTTTTCTAAGTAGAGAGGGCGGGGCTTTTCAAAAATTTGTGAAAATCTTCCACTATACCTTTAAAGATTGAAACTGAGTAACACAGAAGCTGTACCATCTGCCTGAAACACTGGTGTAAGAATTTAGATTGAAGTAGAATGAAATTCTTTTTTTTTAATGTTTCCCTGGATGGGATTTCTAGCTGAGCTGAAGCGAGCACGTTCAGATGGAGACAATGCCCTGGCCCAAGCCGAGAGAGAAAAACAGATTCTAACTCAGACCCTAAATGCTGCACAGCTGGAGGCTCAGCAGGCTCTACGTAAGGCCACCTCTGAACACCAGGAGGAGGTGGAGAGGTTGGTTTCAGAGAAGGTGAGGGCTCAGATCATTCCTATATGTGATACTGGATCTGTAAAAGAAGCCTGTCAGTGTCTCGCCCATCCATGGCTTTGTGTTGCAGGAGGTTGTGCGTCACAGTCTGCAGATGGAGCATGAAGCTGCTCTGAGGAGGCTCAGGCAGGAGATGGAGGATCAGCAGCACAGAGCGAAGAGAGACAAAGAGGATCTGCAGGAGGAGCTGAGGACTCTGCAGCATGATCGAGATCAGAGTTTGCTGCAGGCAGAGACTGAGAAACAGCAGGTCTGATTCTGACACCAAAACAAACACTTATTCATGTTTGCCTGACAACCCAGGGTGCAGACCAGGAAGCACAGTTGTAGTTTAACACACCTCTCTGCAGCTTCTCCACTGTTACCCACTCATTACTCCATCCAGACAGTGTCTTGCCCTCGACCAAAATCTAATAAATTAGAAAATATTTCCACAGGAAAAAATCATGAAGATGATGAGATTAAATTTATCTCAGATAATAAAGTAAAAATATTGTTGTTATTTTTGGGACCTGGCATTTAAATCCTATATCAAAGAGGTTTCTAGAATTTCTTTTTTTCCATCTGCAGAATATTGCAAAAAAATAGCTATATCCTGTCCAGGGGTGATGCTGAGAAACTAGTCCATGCATTTGTTACTTCAAGACTGGACTATTGTAATTCTTTACTATCAGGAAGTCGACAAACTCTAGTTAAAAGTCTTCAGCTGATCAGAAATGCTGCAGCCTGAGTTCTGATGAAAATGAAAAAGAGAGATCATATCTCTCCTATCCTGGCTTCTCTTCATTGGCTTCCTGTTAAATCCTGGTTCTGCTGGAGGTTTCTTCCTGTTAAAAGGGAGTAGTTTTTCCTCTCCACTGTCGCTACAAGCATGCTTAGTGTGAGGGATTGCATTCAAGTCAATGAGTCGATGCAATCAACTGGTTTTCCTTAGATAGAAAACTTTGAATTAATTTAACCGTATGATCTGGTGAACTGTAAAGTGCCTTGAGGTGATGTGTTGTGAATTGGCGCTATATAAATAAACTGAATTGTATTGATCATGACAATTGAACTGTTAAACTCTTTTATCTATAGGCTCTTTCCCTGAAGGAGGCAGAGAAGGCTGTGTTGTCTGACCGGGTGTCCAGTCTGCAGGCTGAGCTGTCGACTGCAGCTCTGGAGGCGGAGCGGATGGCCAGAGAGGCAGCTCATCACAAAGAGCAGGAGCAGGTTTACCTTTCTGCCTGAATTTATCTTCAGCTGCAGTGTTCGAATCCCAAAATATACAGATAAAAAAAACTAAACTGGCTCTGTTTTTTTTTCTTTTCTTTTTAGATTAGAGTTGGAGCCCTGACCTCTGAGATTCTTGAGCTCCGCTCTCAGCTGGACGAGACGACATCAGCTCAGCAAAGGGAAGTCCACAGCTTGCAGGAGCTCTGTACTGATCTTCGCTCTCGGGCAGATGTGGCCTACAAAGAGGTAAATTATAAAGTGCAGAAGAAGAAGAGTTGTCACATTGTCCCTCTCTTGGTCATGTAAAAATCAGAAATTCACTTTTCAGCTTGGGTCGTGAATTTGCCTCAGCAATTACTGACTTTCAAGACTTTATTTCTACATGAAGTGAAAACGTCTATAAAGCCCTGAATAATTCACATCAGGATTCCCTGAATTGCACCTTTTAAATGTGTCTCTGCTTCATCACACCTGAGTCAAACAAGCCGATGATTAGCAGGACTCTGAGGAACTGGACTGCATGAAGAGGTGATTCAACAATTTGATCCAGGTGTGGAAGGATAGACACGTGTAAAGGGTTCAAGACCTCCAGGATCCAGTTCTACATTCTTCCTACTTCACCAGCAACTGTTTCTCAGCTCAAGACAATCAGGAATATTTAGATTCAAGCCTTCTACAAGGAAGGACCCAATGTTTTTAAATACAGCTTAATGTCATCGTTGCCAACAAACCATGAGAGAGACACCGGCATATTTCGAAGCAGACGTTTACTTTTTTTATAATCCTGAAAGCTTTGATTAGGGCTAACAGATTCCCCATTTATTTTCTCCTGTTGTCTGACTGGTTGGTATGAGGGATCACTGAGGGTCCAGTTTGTCGCTTCTCCACATATCTAGTTGGAGCAGTGCAGAGCTTCTCTCTCAACCGCAGAGGAGAGCCGAGACAAGGTGAGAAAAGATCTGCTGGAGGCCGAATGTCGCTTGAGCCAAAATCAAGAGACAGCAGAAAACTACAGGAGGGAGGCGATAGAGCTGCGGCACAGCCTCAGCGACGTCACCAAGGAGAGGGATGCTCTGAGCCAGTCAAACACTCAGCTGAGAGGAACGCTGCGCAGCGCAGAGACCGAGAGGATCAGGTGAGAGAGTATGTTCAGAGGAGAAAATGTTTGTTTGGCCAAGTATTTGTAACTGTGTGGGGACAGAGTTCCCAGGCCAGTTTCACAGGAATATGCTACTTTTTGACCTACTCCTCGGGTTCACTGGACGTGTGCTTTGGCTCCGCTGCCTGTTGCAGCTGATCGCAGCAATTCTAGTCAGTAAGTAGTTCCAAGCATCTGGGATGCTTCAGAGACCTGTCCGTTGCTGGCTGCATTCCTCAGTAGGCGGCTGTTCTGTTTAAGCTGCTCCAACTCAACAATCAGTCTAAAGCAGAGCAGATCGTTCAGGAAGGAAGTCACTTGATAAATGGGAAAGTAAAAGACAACATGAAGACTTTGGGTCACATGGTTTGAAATGTAATTTAATACAAAATTCAGTTCATAAAGGTAATTGAGACCAATAATAAATATAAGCATTAAATAACAAAAAACAACTAAACAGTCAAACTTACTAACCCATGATAGGTCCAAATAAAAAAAAAGCTATGGGGATTCAATAAAATCAGGCTCTCCAGATGCTGGTAGCACTGGGAAAATAAACGCTTCACTGGTTTATTGTTCTGTTTAGAGCAGAGAGTATGCTGCTATAGCACAATGATACAATACTGACCTGCTCTGAGTCCAACTGTGTGGGAGAAAAGCTGCAGCACAGCTGGACATCCAGTGGAACTGATGGGTTAGAGGTTCTTCTGGGGACCAGTCAGCTGGTTCTCTTCTTGGCTGCAGGATTATGTTTATGGCCAAGGTGTAGACTGAGTTTAGGCTAGAAATGGATGTGTGTTGTTAATGGGTTAGGGTGAGAGTCTGTGTTAGACTGTAGGCAGGAATGGAAGTGGTTGCAAATTCCCTTCAAGGATAACAGTACATAAGATGTGTGTGTGTGTGTGTGTGTGATAGTGTGAAACGACAGTGTGAGGAGAAGGAGCAGAGGCTGGCTGTTCTGGAGGAGAACCTGTCATCCGCTCAGAAGGAAGTGATGGAGCTGCGCAGCTGCCTGAGAGAGGTCGAAAGGTCACGGCTTGAGGCACGGCGGGAGCTGCAGGAGCTCCGCCGACAGGTGAAAATAAGTCAGATTATCAAATAGGTTGTTTTGAAAAGTACATTTTTTAAGATATACTCTTAAATAACAGCTTTTGGGTTTTTTTTTTTTGGTTTTTTTTTGTTTTGTTTTGTTTTGTTTTTTGCACCAGCTGAAAATCTTAGATGCAGAGAAGGAGCAGAAAGAGAGGGAGGTGGTGGAGCTGCAGACCCGTCTGGCTCTGGAGGAGCAAAGGGACGAGGAGAGAGGAAAGGAGGTCTTCTGCCTCAAACAGAAGCTGACTGAAGCTGAAACTACCAGAGATGCCATCAAGAAGGAAGTGAGGATGCAGTTTCACTGGTTTTTCAGTTTTCTGTCCTCATGATGATGAGTTAATACTTGATTCTGTGTCAGCTGTCCCTGACTCAGAGACGACTGACAGAGTCTGAGTCAGGATGGCGCAGCTGTGAGAGAGAACTGACTGCCCAGCTGCAGGAGGCCCACGGCTGCGAGAAGAAACTCCAGGATGAAGCCAAGAACCTGTCGCTGCGTGCTCAGGCCGCCCAAGACGCCGCCGCTCAGTCCAGCCTGAAGCTGAGCGAGGCACAGGGCCGGCTGGCCGCCACGGAGGCGGAGCTCACCAGAGCCGAGGCTTCGAGAAGAGATCTTGAGTTTCGACTAAGCAGCCTCCAGTCGGCGCTGACGCGGACCCTGGGCATTGGGGCAAGCCGCAGGGGGAGGAGCCCAGGAGGCAGCTCCACATCACCAGGCAGCATGTCGCGCCACCACAGCATCTCGCCGCTGCGCTCCTCACTGTCCCCTCCTAAAGGTCAACAGAATGCATATTTATTGTTCACTTGACTAAAGTTGGATGTTGTTTTTGTAATAAATCTTTTTGTTTAGCTGCCAAGAATTGTTCAGCTCCGCCATGCAAAATTATGTCTTACCAATAAGTTTCATTAGATGAGGAAATTTTGAGCAAAGCTCCATGTCTGCCTCCACTTAAGATTCTCTTGCTATAAACTGATTACCTTTTAAAACACAACACCAAGCACACATAAAACCAATAACATAGTTAATGATTTTATTATTTTACTGGAAATTTTTCTTGTCTGGTGATTTTAAGGGGAACACCAAGCAGTTTTGGTTTTCCTTTATCTTAACCAAGACGTTTAAAATGCAGTGCATGAAGCTTTGCATGAAAAGAGTTTTCCTTTGGTTGGATTGAGGTTGCTAAAAATAAACATCTAGCTATAAAATGTTAAATTAAATTGACCTGTGAATCTTATTCAAGCAGAATTTCGAGGAAGCACGCCGGACAACACTCTAGGTTCAGGGGCTGTTTCTCCTGAGAGAGGCGACACGCCGCTGCCTCAATCAGAGCTCGACCCTGACTCCCTGAGAAGCGGCCTCAGAGACTTCCTCCAGGAGCTGCGAGATGCACAAAGAGAGAGGGTAACAGTCCTGTGCAGCGTGACAACATCAAGAACTCAACTCTCTTAGAGTAACTTGATGATTTTGGTGAAATTTTTGAAGATAACTGCTTATTTTGCAGGATGATGCCCGTTGCCAGCTGGGGGTCCTGCAGCGGGAGCTGGAGGAGCTAAAGGTGGTGAAATTTTTGAAGATAACTGCTTATTTTGCAGGATGATGCCCGTTGCCAGCTGGGGGTCCTGCAGCGGGAGCTGGAGGAGCTAAAGGAGGAACGAGGCTCTGCTCAGACTCGCCTCTCTCATCTGCAGAACGCTTTGCAGGATATGCAAGAAGGTTTGTTTATTAGGAAAACTGATTCTGGATAATATCTTTTTTTTATTATTATTTTGGTATCAGTTGATACATGCATGCAAACGGGAATTCCTCAGTGCATTCAGCACGCCTGGAGATCACATGAAGCGCATGTATTGTTGCTCCTTGAAGTTGCTATCCATTGTTCATATTTTGTTTGATTTTTTTTTTTTTATTAAGACTTGTTTACCATTTGATATCATTGAGCTTTAATTATGTTAACAAAGGAAGAATAAGAAATTTTGGCTTCAAAATATCAGCCGCATATATCAGGAATTTGTTAGACTGATATATGAAAATAAATGAGTAAACAGAAGCAGGAAATGCTGCATGGTTTAAAGAAAGTTGAAATTAAAATCCTGAAATGTGTTAAATACGTGAATCAATGCTTTGGGATGGGAAATCCCTTTTGTCACCCTTAAACTTTATCTGTGCCTTTGTTTTCTAAGAGATAGCATTGATGCAAAATTTAACCTCTTAAAAGGGTTAATCATTTACAGGATCCCAGTTCATATGCATTGTAAGAAGACACACATATCCTTGCAGCATCATGGTGTGCAAAATGCACATTTGAAACAAATCTTATATATAAAGGCAGTAAATGCAATAGAGAAGCTCCTTCTGCAAGGATGTTTAAGACCAACATTCAAATAGGATAAAAGATTTAGAACGACAGTTTGTTTTTAGCAGTGGCCTAATTTGACACCAACCTGAATGCATTAGACTAAAACATATCCATTGTTTTAGCTGATGATGCATTTAGTGTATTCTTCATCACCAATTAGTTTTAATTACCAGTATTGTGTAACTCAGGCGATTTTTCCCTGAAGGTGATAACATTTTTTGGCTTACTCTCGGTTCTTTTTGTCTGGAGCGATCACTTTATTTAACACTTCTTATAGTAAAAGAGTCTTAACCAGGAGTTAAACTTGAGCATTCTTTAATCTAAGGTAAGCCAAGTAATAGTAGAGAATTTTTACAAAATAATGAAGATGAGCAAAGAAAAGAAGCTTCTGTTGGTTCTTCTCTCTGTGATATCTGTAAACTGTCAGTCCAAGTGACTGTCTATCTGCTAGGATGTGTCATTATTTTGTGTCCAATCCCTTTGAAAAAGTACTTTTCCACTTTTTCAAACCTGGCCCTAGAGAAAATTAAACATAATATTATCTAAATAGGCTTTTGAATTTATATAGGTATCCCTGTATCTTCCAATAATCTGTGACTTAGCGGTGAAGATGATTATTGTTATCTTGGCGAAAGATGCAAAGATGAAACAAAAGTAATCTGGCTCTCGAGGGAGATGAAATAAAACATTAAGATTGAAATGTAAAATTCTTTAATATTATTTTACTAGGGCTACAGAAATCATCAGTAATTAATGGAGAATTATACAAAGATATTATTTTGAATAACCTATTTATTTTAAGGTTTAACAAACTTTTCATGAATGATAAAGATTATTCCTGACAATACTTTGATTCTGCTGATGACACTGTTCTTTTTCCACAGACATTTTCTGGTCTGCAAACAAGAACAACCTCTCATTGAAATACACTGAAGTTGACACTAAAATATTTCTTTTAGTGATAAACAGGTCTACTCTCTTTATGAAGCCAGCCTGTTGTGCTGGATTGGATTTAGGGGAATCTAATTAAAGGGACCTCTAATGAAACATGATTTACTTGTAAACAGTTTTCAAGTGTATTTTTCATCTTTTAATGGATTTAAATGTTGTTATAACAAAAAACAGCTTTTTTTGTATGTGGAAGCAATTTAACCTAACAATTAAGATTACCTTCTTAACCTGGGCCGCTATCCTTTTTTCTTGAATATGCAGTCATTCCAAAAAGGAAAAATATTTTGATATTATGTTCTTTATATCACTTTTTGTGTTCAGTGAAGCGTGGCCTGGAGGAGCGCCTGACTACCAATCAGATTCTTCTGCAGCAACAGGAGGAGGCGGTGAGGAGAGGAGACAGAGAGAGGAGAGCTCTCTCCGACCGCGTGAAAGAATTAGAACGATCGCTGCAGGCCTCAGAGATGGATAAAAAACACATCCAGGTACTCACACCTCATGCTTGGACTGGATGCAATCAGTCTCACAGCCAGTGACCGAGTGCGCCACAGTCGCCATATGGCAGCACTCAACATTGGAGCCGTATTTATAAAAGTTAGCTGTCGGGGATTGAAATAACAACAGATGTCCTCCCCTCGTGGTGTCGTGTATCAGCTCTCCATATGTTGCTTCATAATCTCAACTGTTTCCACAATGAATCACCTCCTGCACCACAGGATGAGCAGACACAATGCAGCAACTGATCACATAAACAAACCAAACATTCAGCTACGTTAGAGCAAACAGCCAACATGAACACTTTGCACCCCCCACTCTTCTGCAGGATCAGCTGAACAAGCAGCGAGCTGCTGAGATGCGCCTGGAGGCCGAGAGGAAGCGCCTCCGGGAGGCGCTAGAGGCTGCTGAAGCTCGGGCAACAAGGGTGGAGTTGGGGAGGCGCAGTCTGGAGGGGGAGTTGCAGAGACTCAAACTGAGTCTGGGAGATCGTGAAGCAGAGAGCCAGGCGACTCTGCAGCGGCACGACGCTCTCATCAAACAGGTCTGCCAAAAGGTTATGAGTCTGTGACCCTGAAACAGCCTGGAGCAGCTTTAATGTTCAGAAAAGTTTGCAACTTCTTTATAAAACTAACTTTTTAGGTTTTCCTCTTTTTATGTATGTTTTTTTTATGCCTTATATTTTCTTTTTCTTCCTCATTTTTTTGTCTGTTTCCTTGTTTTAGCTCATAAGAAACATGCATAAAGGGTGAAAAAAACATTTTCAAAAAAGTAAAAAAAAAAAATTAGATATAGAAAGACTGAAGAAATTTTCTTGACCACTTCACTTACTAATGGAAGTCCAACTGCTTTGGAAAAGATAGTATTTTTTTATTACTATAAAACTGGGTTAAGATAAAACTGGGTTCAAACTTTAAACTCTCTCGATCTGAAATGTTTCAAAAAAAAAAAAAAAAGCTATAGGCTGCTGAGAATAGTGACCTTATGTTTGGAACACCAAACTCTGGCTTCAATGCATAACTCAACTGTAATCTCCTGCTCCAACTTCAGTTCATATTCATAAAGGGAATATTTGTGTGTTGATTAGTCGACCACAAGCTAGATGAGGGAGAAAATGAATTTAAAATGTATAACTTCAAGCCAGCGGTCAATTTAAAAGTGCTCAAATCAATTTGTCTTTATAGGTTTATGTCCTTATAGGTTTATCTGCTTCAGGATCTTGATACCAACAAGGCTAAATTCATGATGTTTCTATGGAGCACACAAGCAGCTACACCTCTGTTCACAACATTTCTATTCATTTTAAATTGATATTGCAGCTGATATATGGATTTAAAAAAAATCATAAATTAATGAGCAAAGACTGATTGCATGATTGCATCGATTGGCCTCAACGAAACACAATTTTCCACCCATTGCAGGTTGCAGATGGGGAAGCTCGTGTTTCCCAGCTGCAGAGGGAGGTGGACAGGCTGAGCCAGGCTGTTCTAAAAGCTCAGGAAGGGGAATCTGTTCTTAAGGAGAAGGCCACGTCCCTCAGCCAGACGCTCCAGGAGGTGACAGACTCCCACAGCAGCACGCAGAGCCGCCTGCTCGCCCTGCAGAAGACGCTCAGTTCGGCTGAGCAGGACAAAAGGCTTCTACAGGTTTGTGGATTAGATCAAAAAATGGAAAGTCTGTGAATAAAAAAAAGAAAGTAATTTAATGGTTGTTTTGTATAGGAACGACTGGATGAAGTACGGGCAGCTTTGGCTGAAGGAAAGAGGAACATGGCTGCCCTCACTGATAGTGTGCAGAACCTGCAGAGTGAGCTGAGCCAGAGCGAACTGCGGCGAGAAGAGCTGGAGGTGGAGCTCAGCAGCAGTCAGGAGGTCAGGCAGACTACAGCCCATTTAAATGACACCCAGCATTTCTTCAGAGGAAGTAAGAGTCTCTTTTCCTCTCTCAGGCTCTGCGTCAGCGCTCGGCCAGTCTGGTGGAAGCACAGCGGAGTGCCCAGCTGGCACAGACAGAGCGGGCCGTCGTAGAAGAGCGGCTGCGTGCACTGCAGAGAGCGGTGGCCTTGTTGGAGACAGAAAAGAAGGATGCCGAGAGGCAGGCGGTCAGGCTGGAGAAAGACAAGAATGCACTAAGGAACACACTGGATAAGGCGAGTGTAGACGTATTTCCTTCATGAATCTGTAAATGTTCTGTTTCTTGCCCCAAAAACTGAAAATGAGACACTAATGACATCAGGTTGAACGCCAAAAGCTGATGTCCGAGGAGGGCAGCATGAGGCTTTCTGCAGAGAAGAGCCGTCTGGATCGCTCCCTAAACACAGCAGAGCAGGAACTCCAGGAAGCACAGCAGCAGATCCTGATGCTGCAGGTGAGGATGAGTATGCATGAACAGATTCCTCATCAAACCATCCCTACAAGGAGAATAAACATCTACAAAACTGCTGCGTAGTTGGGATTGGATTTCTCTAATCTTATAAAATAAGAGAAAAGACAAACAGGAGTTCAATAGGGAAATTAAAATGTTTTATTTATTAAGCTTGGGTGGAGCATAATTATCCTTGTGTAAAGGAAACTTACAGCTTGTTGTTAAAAAGAAGAAAGCAGGCATCCGAGATCAGTATTTGACTTTCTTTCTCTGCAGTGTGCAGAAAAAGATTTATAGTTTTCTGGAAACGTTGTTTAATTCTTATCATTTTTTAGGTCATATTAACATTGTTTTAAATGCAGCACAGAAAGGCCACAAACAAGTTAAGCGGGATTTAGAGGAATTTAGAATCTGTTGTTTATTTCAAGGAGGTTTAACATCTCAGACATTTCCTTATTTAGGCAAACTTTTCCCAGTCAGCAGAAATGTTTGTGGGGAAAAAAATGCAGGGAAAGAAACCCTCGTAAAGACAGTTTTACCAATTAGTATTGCAGCTTTGTTTCTTCCATGAGGGGAAGAAAATGTCTCTGTTCAGGGAAAGGAAAAGTTTTGCCTCCCTTGTTGCATAAAGAAATAAGTCTCTAACCTTAATGCAACAAGGATCCCCAACAGTAAAAATAAAAATCAATGATATATTTGCTCATGCTTCATAAAGTAAAAGTTGATTATCAATAGATATCAATTAGACAAACAATTAGTAGAGATGAGAGCAAAGCTACGCATTATATCATCCCAATGAAAGTAACAGCCATGAATGCTCTTCCTCCTTACCTACAGTGTGACGTTGTGTGCTGTACAGAGGTCAGTATTAACTTTTTGTGTGTTTTTCCTGAACAGACCCAGCTGGCTGAGATGGAGCACTCCCACAGTCTGTGTGAGAGTTTGGTCCAGCAGCGTGACGAGGTTCAACGAGAGGCCGAGAGGATGAGGAGCAGCCTCCGGGACGTGGAGCGAACGCTGGGCACCAGGGAGCGGGCTCACCGCCATCGGGTCAAAGGGCTGGAAGAACAGGTAGTTTGATTAGGGTTTCTCTCAGGGTGTTGGTCAGCCACAGCATTAAAACACCGTTTGGATAACTAAAGGTAAAATTCTCCAATGAAATCTTGAAAAAACATTGAGTTAAAAACGATTAAAACACCCCAACTCCCAACGTGCAGCCTCATGCTAACTAAATAAGGCTGCAGTCCACCATTATAGTGGTTTTAAATGGCAGACTAGACCCTTTCAGGGGTTAAAGAACAGCAGCTGATTTATTTATGCTTTTTCAAAATCCTTTTTGGGGATTTTCAGTGACAAGTTATCAGAGAAATGTCAAACAGCAGCTGCTTCAGACAGTGCTACTTTTTTCGTTGCAAAAACAGCTTAAAAGCAAAGATGGCAGATGCCCAAAGTGCTAAACCAACTTCTTAACTCAGCTGATCTTTGTGATGATCATGTCAAAACTGTTCGAACACCCTTCAGTGTTCCTGTTTAGAAAACAATCTGATACAGTCCTGCTGTTTCCAGACTAATTTCTTCAAATCCAGAATCTAGGAGAAGCTCACATGATCCGAACACGCTAACAGAAATACAATCAATTATAATATTATTCAATAAAGGCAGGTATTGAAAAATAGGGATTTGTTGATGTTGGATATATCAAAGGGAAATTGTTATTTTCTAAGGCTTTTACTTAAACCTTCATCAGTTTGCATCATCATATACTGAGAATCTATATAAGTGTAGATTTACTTAACCTGGAATTTGGAGGAAAAAAATGGATGTATGTATGCTGAAGGGAATTTTATTTTTAAAATGAAGTTTGGTTATTTTGTTTTGTTGTTGTCTACCTTTTAATTTTCAAGAAATCTCAGTCCTGCTTTCTAGTCTTGTTTTCTAGTCTTGTTTAAAGGGTGTAACAGTTAGTAAGTTTTTATCCAGATGGACGATGGCTGGATTGCAGATTACATTCATCAGTTATTCACATACAGATCTAAAAAGCTTTCTCCTGTTGTCCTCTTGCCAGGTGTCCACTCTAAAGGAGCAGCTGCAGCAGGAGATAAAGAGACGGCAGCCCTCTCTCCCTCCGTCATTACTGACGAACTGAGACACAGCTAGAAGAAGATGAATCTAAACTCCAGTCAATCCTTACTCTAACTCTAAACACAACCTTTTGTTCAACAGTTATTTCTGAAGTGCTTGAATGATGTTTAAAACTGTAACTAACAAACAAATGAAGCACAAACACAAACAAGCGTTGCCTTAAAGCCACCAGCAAACCACTAACTACTTGTTAAACATCTGTGACATGTCCTGGCTGGATGCCGTCTTAAACTTTATGCTTTTTTACAAGAAAAACTAAAATCATTACAGAAATGATGCACTCACAAAGAAGAGAGAAAAATGTTGAAGGTTATTTACGACTATTAAAGAACAGAAAATATGGACATGGAAGCACCATTAAACTAACTGCACTGTTTTATCTCTAGGAGACAGATTGAACTAATCATCTAATGTTAGATAGACTAGATTTTATAACTGAAACACTGTTTTTTTTTTTGTTACATTAGATCTTGTTTAAATGAGTATAAATTATACAAATACAGCTTCTCTATGTATCGATGGTGAGAGGCTGAAGACAAACCGCAGCAGTCACATTTGTGCTGGAAATAAACATGAGACTCAGATTTATGAGAGAAAATATGTGTTGACTTGCTAGGCAGGGGAAGCAGCCATGTGGTGACTGTGGAGGAGCTGCATAAATGAACGGCTCAGCTGGAGGAATATGTTTACAGGGCAACTCTTTGTTGTGCACGACATAAATTTTGCCTTTATTTGAGAAAAGTGAGAAGAAAGGTGTTGTTAAAGGAGAAAGCTTACACTACATATTACCCTGAACACACTATGCCCTCTGCGTTGGCTGTATCATGCTGTGTGCATGAGAGATCCATACTTACAAATACGTACATCAAACACCTTACAGTATAATAGCGTATTATTAAAAAAATATAAAACCCTGTGCATGCACAAAAATTGAGCAATTATCCTAAAAGAATTGCAGCTGTGTCTCAGTTATTATCCAAGGGTCAACCTAATGTTCGGCCCACTTCTTGCTCACATTCGACCATAAAAGGTCCATCAAAAACACCATAGTCAAGTGAGCCAGCTGCACGATGTCATTTAATGGTCACCATTGCAACCACAGCTAAAGGGCCCTGTTTAACCCAGGAAGAAATAAGGAGTTAGTTAGTAAGATGAAGAGTTGGTTAAATATATACTTTCCCTCCTAATTTCCTGTTTCCAAAGTGTCCAGCAATGTTAAATCATCCATCGAACACCATATGCACAGGAGGTTTGGTGGTGTTTAAATGCAGCGTAGGTGAACCTCACGCTTTGTTACATTTATTTATTGCTCTGTGGTACGACTCACTCCTTTCATTGCTGGGTAGAGAAATGTAATTGTGAGGACACATTTAAAAATGTGCAGACTTTGATTATTTTATTGAGGTTGCTTTATGAACTAGCTTAAATAGATCTGATAAAGTCAATCTATGATTAAACTTTCATATGAAGTAGAATTCAGTGTCAGAGAAATAATGATGCAATCTGGCTTCAGTTCCCATCAGTCACCATCTGCCAATATAATTCTCTCCTCAACATGCACACGTGTTAGATAGGTCAGAGTTGGCAGAGATACTTTTTTATAGAGTATAGTTTTATGCTTAAGCAAAATGTATAAATGAAACCTTAAATCAGTGGTTCTTGAAATGTTGCTAACATGTACCCCCTTTGTAAATACTAGTTGTTGTTGTTTTTTTTTTGTCACTATGTTATAACGGTAAAACTGGTACAAAATCTATTAAACATTTTTTTAAAGAATTACAATTAAAAAAAGGTCTCTTGAATGCTGCAAAGTTGTAAAATATAGGTCTGCAAAAGTTGGGAGTTGGAAGAGACAAAGTCTGAGATTGATAGCCCGTAGCTCAAGATACAAAATGGCTGCCTCACATATTTATCCTCGTCATGGCAACAATTTAAAGCTGAGGTCTTTAACGTTAAGGACGTTAAAGACCTCAGAGATTTTGTCGCCAACTAAACTAATTTTTCTACTTATTTATGGATATGCTGCAGGTTAGTTTTCCATTGCTTGTCCTCGGGGTTTAAATTGAATGCTAATGTCTACAGATGTTGCTTTAAAGTTTCTATATTAAAGGTATTCTGGAGGATTTTCATGAATTTTTGAAAAGAATCGCCGTCTCCACTTTAAAAAAAATGCACATGCACAACCCTGTACCCGCTCCTGAGAGGCAACGCCATTTCACCTCGTGCAAAGGATACTATGTTCAGTTTGCTTATTCATAACACTAGCAGTGGCTCTAAACCCACTGCTGTTTCTTTTAACACAGATTTATAAGCAGAGGTTGAAATCAAAGCACACACTGAGCATCTGTAGTATAAACATTTATTTTTCAGTCTTTATAGTGACACTTTAACCAAGCAGTAGTACAGAGGTGGTGGTGGGATGCCCCTTTAAACCACTGATTGCTGTTGTGATGCTGAGCTCATGTTTCTCCACATGCCTCCTGATCTTCAGCTGAGAGGCTCAGCCGCTGCCCGCTTATGAGTCCTGTATGCTATCAGAGCTCTGATCATCTTAATGATGACTGCTTTTCAACAAAAGTACAAGAATATTTCAACAAACAAAAAAAAAAATGGGATTATTATGGCACAACATAAAAACAGAAAAAATAAGAATTAAAGGGATTTTCATGGTTTTATGTGCACCTCTAAAAGTTATAGCACCAGTGACTCAGATAATCGTCAGTGTTATTGATGATCCCTTATGGTAAAAACAGGACCTACTGGACAGACCTCTATAAAAAAAACAAAAAGAAAAACAAAAATATTAAAAGTGCTTTTCGCACAAAAGGATGGAGTCATCCGGATGAATGAGGAGAGTCAGTATCCCAGCAGGCAGCATTCCTGATCCAGATCAGCAGCCTCCGCAGCTTTTGCCACAGCTTCCTCCAATCGATGCACACTGACCGCTAAGCGCCATCACACCGCAGCGAGAGAACTGATCACGACACAGATCCGCTAGAAAAAGACACACAGTTTACCCTCTGATAGCAACCGTCTTTTACTTCCACTATAAAGAAGCTGCTAATATATTAGATTATTATGTTCTTATTTTTTAACTGTAGCTACATTGGCTTGATAATATTTTTTATTCTTTTTTATTAAAAAAAAATTTGCTGAATGAATTAATAAAAAATATCCCCATGCAAAGAGATCGATTGTTCTCCCAGTGTATGGATGGTATGGTTGTTTCCTGGTACCCATAGTCCAAAAACATAACTGTAAGGTTATTAATCTTTTCCTGGCTGTTTGTCCTGTGTGACTCTGTATCCAGGTAGGACTGTGATCTTCATCTATTTATTTTGATTATTTGGCAGGGACCATGTAAGAAAGCATTAAAGTAAATATGGATGCATGAAACATCAGCACTGACAAGGATGTTTGGTTTTCACTAAACATATCAGTATCAGTCTGAGAAGTAAAACTAAACATCTGATATTTATTTACATTTTGCCGCTTTATGTGTTGGTAGGGGTGGTGGGGGGGTTGGTCTTGTGACAATGGCAATGATGCAATGCAGGACTGTGGGTGTTTAACTGAAACAAAGATCAGCACTATGGTTTCTTTTCCATAGGGACTAAAGTGTTGGGAATTATATAGCACACATTATTGGTATATATTGAGAATCAGCAATATTAAAGGTATAGTTGAGGATTTTCACGAATTGTTGAAAAGACCCTCCCTCTCCACTTTAAAAATGAAAATGCACATGCACAACCCTGTACTCGCTCCCGAGAGGGAACGCCTATTAAATGCACATGATAGCATGCACGAGCCCATTTCTCCTCATGCACGAGCCCATTTCTCCTCATGCACGCTCTCTTTAAAAGTTACTGTTTGCATCTCCCATACAATGCTTACTTTCTAAAAGAAGATTTGCAATTTTTCCACTATGTCAGACTCACCACCGGTAAGTGAAAATGGGGGCGATCCTTACATAAACATATGACCAGAATGATTGACAATCGCGAGGACCACTTATTTTGATGATCCACCCGGAAAAAGAACATCCTCCACTAGACCTTTCATACTGGACATTGATATCAGCCCAAACTATGAAAGTGTTCGTATCTCATTATTGTGCATCTTGGGTTTGCTGTTGTGTAATATGCAGGTCTAAGCCCACCTCTGAGTAGCTCCTCATGTGCGCACACGGTCCTCATGCAGATCTCCTTGTTGATTACATAAACCCGTCGCAAACTGAACAAAAAGACAAGAGAGAAATCAGAATGTATTAAGAGAAACTAGCAGCACACACTGACAAACAGTACATGGTTTACAAAAAAAAGCCTTTAATCAACAGTTTTTTTTTTAATCTAGATTAACAAGGCAAGTTGATGTCTATGATTTACATCAACGCTTATACTCAAAATAACAGCGCTGTGTTTAAATAACAGAGGAAAGCTAAGCTTTACTCCACTTCCACATAAAATCCTTTGGGAATGCTGCACTTTTAAAATACAAATCTGCTTCTAAATCTCTGCATTTGTTTCAGAAACACCTTCCTTGGGATCAGGCTACATGTTTAGTTTTATTGGATTTGTTTTGGCAGGCTGGCCCACAACGTAAATCTTGCTGGTTTGAAAGCAATATGTTCCCTGGTGTGTTTGAGGTTGCTGTCTTATTAAAATGCCTATTTTAATGTTATTTCCATTTTGGCATAAAGCAACATCACCTCTCAAAGTATGTTAATGTATTCAGTAGATCCGATGTGTGGTAAACAGGCCTGAAACCACTTAGGGATTGTTTGCTAAGCAATCTGCGCATCAGAAAAATCAGCGATGCACAAAATGTTGCATTGTTTTCATTAGGCCACCAAATGTCTAACAATCCATTATCTATGTCCCTGCAGGGTTGCTAGGGATTAATGCTTATAGCCTGGCTTCATCTCAAAGCTTACAGCACTTATAGGAAACTGTAGACCCTCTTTGAGCTGGCTCCTGGTATCTTTACTCTTTTCTTCTGTCTCTTTTTTGGTTTCCAGTTTAACGTTTTAAGAGCATTTTAGCTGAGCAGCCCGTTTATTTCTGCGCTTTGACAGACTGAATGACCTCACCGTCTTTCAGTGTTATTCTGTTGGCCGTCTATCACTCTGCTACACAAGTAAACTATTTGTTTCATGGAACTATAGCGTTTATAGAAAATAATGACTAATCTGTTTAGTAATGCTGGACTGCTGTTATTTTGAGCACAGCTGCACATCATAAAAGCATGAACCCTCAGTCCTTACTGGCAGCAAAAAGATGAGGGAAAGGACTCTGAGGAATAAATATAAATAAACACAAATGTAATGTTAGGGGTGGATTTTCATGCATTATGTGTGTCTGATCTCTCCAAGCTGCTTAGGAAGACTGCAGCTAATATAGGTAAATGTTTTTATGATTTCCCAAAAATGTTAAAGTTGGTCAGGTCACATTAAGCTTCATTACATTTTGACTCTAGTGTGATCACAGTAATGTCTGTGTCTGTGGGATAGACCTCATATTTCTGAGGGCCATCTATCCTGTACCTGTAGAAGCAAAGGCTGTTCAGACACTGCTTGCATGGTTTGTGCACCGAGTAGAGTCTGGTGCAGGGATACTGCTCCTCTCTGCAGTCTGAGGATCAGAAAAGATAAAAATTGTTTTATTTCTGTCGCAATCAGGTGCCAGTCCTTCCTGCTCTGAAGCTTTCTCACCAAGAGGTCCAGGCTCAGTTGGCTCCGTCTCAAAGACCGGATCTGGAATCCAAAGAGAAAACTGGTTTTACACCAGAGAAACAGTCAGAAAAGCCTCACGGCAGAGGAACCTGCAGGTTTACCTAGCTTTTGCTGAACGACAGCAGGCTCGATTTGGACCTGCTGCTGGTAGGAGGATCCCGGAAAAGGGTCCCTATTTTGAGGTTCTGGTCCACAAAGTTAAATCAAATTACTTTTAATACTAAGACATTTATGAGCAAAAAACTGAAGAACATCGAGAGGAATTTACCTGGTGAATAATAATCATAGGACTCTGTGAATCAGGAGAGGGAAACATTTTGTGAGAAGGAAACCCAAAAAGAAACGTGATATGAATGCAAATGAAAGCAACCATGTGGTGAGGATGTATTCTATGACTTCATTTCCAGCACGTTTGCATTTTATATGTATGAAGAGTGAACTGAAAACAGCTGCTTTGTGGGTGGTAAACAGTGACAGGGAGGAGAAACCCTGGAGGCTCAATGAGACATCAGAGGGCAGCGAGGGATCAGGAACAGATGTGCAAGTCAATACTCTCTGAATGAACTCACCCAAGAAGCTACCCTGGCCCTGGTCCTGGTCCTGGTACTGGGCCTGAGCAAGCAGAACTGCTGCATACAGATAGAAAAAAAAAAAAAGAAAGCTGGGCAAAAGATATAAGGACTCGTTCTCCTTGTAATTTACCTTTTTAGACGTTTGTTTACAGCGTGCACTCTCCTGTAATTAGGCAGTTTCTAACTTTTTGATGATGCACAAAATGAGGTGGAAGACTTTAAACAAGTTGAACAATAATTGATTACATTTCAAGCAACACAGCTTATTGAATAAGAGACAGTTCAGGGACATGATTGGAAATAAACTGGGGATCCCATGGAGAGTGACTCTACCAGGAAACATACGGAGACAGCTTCACCATCCTGTAGGAACAGGACTAAAACTGACAACACTTTACTGTCCAGTTGACCTTTTTTTCTTAACTTTGACATAAACCCACTCTGTAGCAAACAAGGCAGAATCATGAGGTCAAATGTGGTCTTCAGGGTTTTCAAGGTCCACCGATGTATTAAAGGTGAGTGAAACTGCTTCATAAAAAATAAACTAAAACACTAGTAAGCTAATATTGCCTATTTTGTGCAATGTGTTACAATAAAAGAACTAAAATTAAAAGTTAAAAACTTTTCAAAAATGTATTAAGCAAAGTAAAATATTTAAAAAGCTAGGTTAAAAAGTGAAAAAAAAAATTTCAGTATCAGAATTAATGATTTTAATGAAGTTTCTATAGAAGCTCCATTGGGATTTTTTTTTTCAACCATTTTAAAGGAAATGACTGATTTTAGTAATTATATTGACTTTGATTTTTTTTCCATGAAAATCCTTTTTTTATGTTACAAAAGTTATAAGGTCTTGTTCTATCCTCCACTCTTGACTTTTGAATTTCAATGTATTTTACTGTGGTCTATAAAGGGTTAACTATTTCCAATGGTCAGGAAAATCACTGTAGGGCTCTCTGAAAAAACAAACTGTCCTCTATTTTCATCTCTTATTTTCTGTCACACGTAACTTTTTTTGAATCATCAAAATCATTTTAATTCAGACAAATATAAGCAAAGTAAATAGAAAACAGGTTTCAATAACTGGCCATTTGTATAAATAGTTAACCTGAAACTATAGCTTGGTGTGTTACCCTTCATGGCAGAAAGGATGTTTTATTTGTGTTGTTTTTAAATGTTTAGTGTATCACTTTAAAACCTTTTTGTTAGTTTTTAGCCTCTTAAATGTGGACTTGTCGTCACTTTGAGTACATTCACTCAGCTGCATGCCAAAATGCACCTAGATTAATACACAGCAGGACGGGCATTTTAGAGTGAAGCACCTTGTTCTGATGCACCAGGAGGAAGATTTCAGATAAAAAGAGCAGCCATGCCCCTATGATTTCTTGATTATCAACAGTAACAGGCCTGGGTGAGATGTGGGTTAAGGCAATTAAAATCCCCATTTAACATGAGGGGCAATGATAGTTTTACATAACTTGGTTTTAATTCCTTTTTATGAGTAAGTCTTGTTGTCTCTATTTTGTGTTGTTCGGATGTTTAATTTTGTATGAGGGTTTAAATTAGGGGTAACAAAAATACTTCTGTAGTGTCTTCTATAAATTACGCTCAGGAAACCTTTCTGCAAATCCAGGAAGAAAAGTCTGCAGATTTGTTTATCATTACCAGCTTGTTTTACCATTGTATTTTTTAAATCAACAAAATACATATAAAATGTGAAATGACTGAGTGCTGTCTGCCTGAGGTGGTTACCTGGCATGCAGATCAGTAGGAGGACTCTCATGGTCACTATGGGAGGTAGACTGACTACAACACTGTGGAGAAGAAGGAAACAAAACAGCATGAGGAGAAGAAAGTTTTCTTCCTGTCCCCTGAAATCTTTTCTCTTCTCTTTCTTCTCCCCTGCCCTCTGTCACCTTTCCAGCCCCCCCGCTGCTCTCTCCCCTCTGTGTGCCCTCCTTCAACCATCGTCCTCCCCTCACCGGCCTCACACCCACCGTAAGCAACAGACGCTGAAAAAACTTACAGTATGTTTCTTTTTTTTTTTTACTCTTTTCTTCCTGGCTGTAGCAGAGTGTCAAAGCTGCATTCCAAGAAAGGAAACAGAACCCCCCCCCCCATCTCACTGTGAGCTGTTCCCATCCCTCCCTCCCTCCTTCCTCTGTCTCTACATCCTTCATTTCCCTGTCACACTCACTGGTCATTTCCTCGAACCCTCCCCCCCTTGCTCTTTACTTTCTTCTTTCCTCCAACAAAATAAAAAAAAGAAAAAAACAGATCATGTGTGGAATCCAGCAGCTCCCTAGAAAGAGTACAGAAATATAAACCAGACTCTGTTCCATACATGAAACACTCTCCTCCTGATTTCCTAACAAAAAACTGCTTGGTGGAAAGTCTGGTTTTGTTCTCCTCGGCTGCAGGTCTGCACATTTAGCTGCAGTTATTCTCCATCCCACCCTCTGACTAAAACCCCAGGTTGCAGTAAATCTGTCTTTGTGCACCAGAATAACTCACAGAAACACAAACCCAGTAATTCTCCTGCAACACGATGGCTATCAGAAACCATATGTTCTCTCAGCCACATCTGGGAGCAATTAGACCCCCCTCCTTCCTACACTTTCGTCCTCCACTTTCAAGCTACAGAGACCTCCATTCCCCCCCTACCCTTCATCCTCTGCAAACTGAGGACAGCAACAGAAGATGCTAAGTGAGCATCTAGTGTTCAGAGCCCATTTATGATTATGAACATCAAGCATATTCAGTTTGCACGGTGCCCTCACTGACCCCCATGAGAGCAGTTTTTTTTAGTTTTTTCTCCACTACTCTGGCTCCTCCTTCTCCTCTGTGGTAAAAACACAACCCACATGTCCACTTTAAAAATGCATTAAATACAAAATAAAGCATGACCTGATTCAGTCTCTCTTAACCAAATGTTTTAAGCTTGTTAAATGATCTGCATGCACTCTCCACTTCATTATCTTATATCTCAGTGATGTGTCTAAAATCAGCTCCTTTAGACAAGTTTGTTTAATCAGAGTTGATCATGAAAGAGAAGCAGACACCAAGATGCATTCAACAGGTTTAACCCCGCTTTCTTACCTAACTCTGGTTCACTTATCTTCTACCTCTGCCGGTGCTGATGCCTCCTGTGAAAGCAGGAGGATCCTGCAGCTCCACATTGTACCACCCCACATAGGCAATCTCCTCCTCCTCCTGCAGCTCCCACCCCTCAGTCCAAGTCCACACTCCACTTCCAGACGGCTGATACTTATTCTAATTTAAATTAGTTGATGAGGGACACAAAATGAACACAACCTGACAAACTAAAGGACCATAAAGGTATCCAAAGTTAACTGTGGAGTATTGTAGAGAATGGATCATTGAGGCTCACCTTCCCTCCATCCAGGACCTGTGCAGGCCCAGGGTCAGAAAACATCTCTCTGCAGACCTCACACATCCTGGACAGAAAACGTTTAACTTCCACCATTAAGGCTGCAGAGTGCCGTTTACCTAAACCAACTGCCGGTTTCCAATGCTCAAATTGATTCCTTATTCATTCCTGCTGCCACTAGACTCTATAATACTGCACTATAACCACAATAACTCCTGTAACAACCACTATGCAACTATATTAGAGTTTTTTTATTGACTGTGCAATATTTTGTGCAATATGCTGACTGTGCAATATATATAATAATAATAATAATAATAATGCATTTTATTTGTATTGCACTCCACATTTCAACAAAATCTCAAAGTGCTACAAAATTCATAGTTAAAACAAAACCGTACAATAAAAACAGCATACATAGTTAAAACGAGACATTACAANTTGGTGTGGGGTGCCAATGAGAATGGCTTCTGTTTTGTTGCTGTTGAGCTGTAGAAAGTTTTTAGCCATCCATGTCTTTATCTCCCCCAGGCAGCAGTGAAAAGCAGATGGCAGAACTGTGGGAGAAGTGGAGTCCATTTTTATGTACAACTGTGTGTCATCTGCATAACAATGAAAAGAGATATGAATATAATAGTCATACCACTACCTCCCCGTTGTTCCTTACCTACTAGACTTTAATGTAAAAGTCAATCCACCTGTATATAAGCCATCCTGATTGTACATATGTCACCTCAAATCTCTGTGTTACTCCCTTGTATTTTTTTATTTCTTATTTTTATTTTTCTATTTATTTTTATTTTATTTCTATTTATTTCTATTCCTAATGCACCTTTTCCTCCTTGTTTGCACCTTCTTTCTCCGCTTTCTCCGCTGTGAGATCAATAAAGCTAATCTAATCTAATCTAATTAGCGATAATTCAGCCATGCCTCCCTCTTATGTAAGAACTTTTTAAATTTTTTTTTTTTTATTGAAATTTCCTAAACTTTCCTTTTTGATAAAGCTTATAGTTAGCTATCTCCATAGTTATGCTGCTATAGGCTTAGACTTCTGGAGGACATAGGGACTGTCGGTCTGTTTTTCCAGTGTAGTCCTGTTTCTCTGACTGTGACTGGCTGGATGTGCTCTCTTCATCCTCTGACATAGGAGTTTGCCTGGAGCTTGTCTGCCTGGCTATATGTTTCCTGGACAGAGCCGCCTTTTACAGTTGCTTTTTGTATCTCTGCTTCTGTCTCCTTGAACCCCAGTCGGCCTCAGCAGATGGCCACTCACACTGTGCCTGGTTTTACTGGAGGTTTCTTCCTGTTAAAAGGGAGTTTTTCCTCTCCACTGTCACTACAAACATGCTTAGTGTGAGGGGTTGCATCCGAGTCAATGAGTCGATTCAATCAACTGGTTTTACTTAGATATAAAATTTTGAATCAATTTGACTGTATGATCCGGATGAACTGTAAAGTGCCTTGAGATGACATGTGTTGTGAATTGGAGCTATAGAAATAAACTGAATTGAATTGAAAATTGTCTTCATTGAGAACAAAGTGGAGATGAAGTAAAACGTCCTTAAAAGTAGAAACCACAGAAGTCTTATCAAAGAAAATGATATTGAGCAATTCAATTCAAAACTTAAACAACTTATATTGATTCAAGTGTATTTTAACATTTTGTGGGTATGGCTTAAGCCTAGTGTTACATCCCAAAGATGGATCATTTTGTTTTTTGCACGTTGCTCTGTTTTATGCTCTGCCTCCAAGAATGGATGCTGCTTTTTGAGTCTCAGGGATCACCTGCATACTATTTAAGGCCTGTGAAGCTGTACTTCAGGGCCTCTGGGCCATTTATCCCCCAGACACCTCTGTTGCTGTTGTAGCATCTAATGGGCTGTTAATTTTCTGCCATGTAAAACTGTACAAGTGATTTTTGTAGGGGAGAGCTGCCTTGAGTTTTAGTTTGGTAAGGCAAATTTTCTTTGTCCCTTATAACTCCTATAGGCCAGGCCAGTGGACGTGACCCTAGTAAAATTAGTAATTTTATTTAATAAGACCAATATAAGAATGAATCCAAAGACTTTAAAGCATAAACTTATGGCCCCAAACATATAAGAAAAAATAAAAGGGGGAAGACTACTGGCTGATGGGAAGATAAGACTATGTCGTGTCATCCCAGAAAAAGCTGGTCATTTGTTTAGAGCAGGTCTGCAAGAAAATTAATAAAAGGTTTAGTGGAAGGTAAGCCGATGTTGGAAGTTCATTAAAAACACATTTGGTGGAGCCAGAGCTTCAAGAGAAACGATGTAAAGATAAATCCATGATCCCAAAGATAGAGTTTAACTCTGCTACAGCATTGTGAATATCCATCAACCTACATGGCATACATGACTAAACAATTGATAATATGCACTAGGAAATGTGCTGTGGTTGGTACATCTGCTCGACACAAAGATTAAGAAGTGCAGGAATTTCATCTGGTCCTGTTTCCAAAGTGATTGCTCATGAAAAACCTGGAAATGGGGACATTCAGAAAAACAAAAAGGCACCATTAAAGAGGTTCCTAAAGTTAGAGTAGGACCCCACTGTGGGGTAGAAGTTGGGGCCTGAAAGGACTGCAGCTCCCCCATGTGGAAGCAATATGTAAAAATAAACTTTCTAGCCAAAACCAAAGATGGCAAACCAAGTGTTCATCTGCAGCAGTGTTAAAAAGGACAGTATAAACTTTTTTCTGTTGGAAGGTAGAAGTTGCGGTACGGTTAACCTTTATGCTTTTTGGATTAAGTAATATTTATTCAGGTTACAAGCCTTTATTACCCCTTTTTCATACATTTTAGGAGACACCAGGTCAAGAAACACTTGTTGCAAAGTCATTTAACAAAACTGTTGTTCTCTAAATACACTTTCTCAGAAGCACTAAAAGTGTGCTGAAGCACCTAGAATTTGAACAACTAATCCTTATCCTACAAAGGCATAATATCAGATCAATTACATTGTTCTTTGAATATTATCATCAGGTCATTTTTTTCTCTCTTTTGTTTATTTGTATTGTTACATCTCCTGTTTTGGCATCAAATGGAAAGCAAAGAAAGAACGTTTTCTCACAGTGAAACCTGTCCTGTTTAGTCAGTAGATTCACACAAAATTAACTTAATCGGGTTTAGATTTCCTTGATTAAAAACTACTGAACAAAAATACAGAAAACCGTTTAACATTTAAATTTGTTTTTTTTTTTTCCATGCAGGAGGAGTGCCACATTTCTAAAAGAAAAGATTTGGTTTGGAAATGTATTAAGAGCTCAGCACTGACTAATGTTTGGTTTTTAAAATGTTTTAGTAGAAAAACGACAAAACACTAAAGATCCAAGTTGCTGCAACACAAAAGATTTATTGTCTATCAAAAACAAGGAGCGCTGTTGTCATGGAGGGGTCATATGTACTGTATGCCTTTCATTAAAGTGCAATATCAAAAACCAAAAACTGAAGGAGGAAAAAGCCTCAGTTCTCCCACTTTAATGTGAAGCTTAATATTTTGCATGTACACAAACATCCACAGAGTAGAGTTGGAGACAAAATCATCTTTTAGGACTCAGTTAAACACTCTCTCCAGCATTAATACTGGAATTGTGCGTTTGTGTAACACCAAGTCCTCCAGCCACACACGCCTCTCTAGTACAGAAATACGCAGCGGCATGTGAGATCCCTGATGGTCAGGCCCCTATCAGACCTTAAAGAGCGCTTTATGATCAATAATTTAATAATCAAGTTGTAAAAAAGGATGGCAGACATCAGACTGCTGCGGCCTTCCTCTCCTTGTATGTGGCCATCATCTTCTTGATCTCAGCGATGGCTTTTCCTGGGTTTAGGCCCTGCCGATGAAAACAGAGTAAATAACCGTCAGATTTACTGAGAAGAGGAATCCATAATCTATCAATTACCCTTTTGAACTTTTAACAGTTCCTTGCTAAATCACCTAAAATCAAAACTAAACGTGATGCAGTGATCCAGAAACAGCTTACTTTTGGGCAGGTCTTGGTGCAGTTCATGATGGTGTGGCAGCGGTAGAGGGAGAAAGGATCCTGCAGCTTGGACAGACGCTCCTCTGTGAACTCGTCTCTCGAGTCTATCATCCAACGGTACGCCTGATATAAAAACGCATACAGGTTTTGCAATCGAGGTGTTTTCATAAGCTGTGTAAGATAAAAAAAAATAAATAAAAAAAACTTCAAAAACATACCTGCATGAGCACTGCCGGCCCAAGGTATTTGTCTCCGTTCCACCAGTAGCTCGGACAGCTCGTACTGCAGCAGGCGCACAGGATGCATTCATACAAGCCGTCCTGCAGCACAAACAGAAATGTTGAACCAGTACTGGAAATCCTTTCCTGAACTGAAGGTGATGCTTTACCAGTTTTTGTCTGTCCTCCATAGACTGCAAGTACTGCTCCTTTCCCTCCTTCGACTCGTCCCTCTTCTTTAGGTACGGCTCGATGGACTTGTACTGGGCATAGAAGTTACTCATGTCCTGCAAACGGAACAGAAAGGTTCAGTGAAACAATCTGATGACTGATAGAACTTTGGCAGCCTGGGTCCAATTCATTTCATTTATACAAACTGCACTCTAAAAAAAAAAAAAAAAGAAAAGTTGGCAGAACTCAAAATCTTAAGGCAACAAACTTCAACAAATATTTAAGTTCAGGACTTATTTCATTATTTCTGTTATCCTTTTAACTTTATCAAACTTGAATTTTATGTCATTGTAACTTGAAATGCATATTATTTTCTAACTTGTGTAAAAGTAGTGGTGACTTAAAAAAGGTAATTATTTAACTAATATTATATTTCTTACTAAAAAAACAAAAAAAAAAAAAAAAAAAATCTTTTTTTTTTTATTTAGAGCTTTTTGTCTCTTGGTGGGGAAATTTGTCATCTACATTTTTGCCAAATCCTTTTTTGTTACAGGAATAGAAACGTCAGTTTTAAACCTGCAACCTATGCAATTGATGAAAGTAGAAAATGCTGTGCTGATCTGATATTAATATTGTTCCAATATTAATATCAGATATTGGTCCGATTTAGCCAAAAAACAACTTTCGGAGTACATCTGCCGCTATTTATATTCTCGTATATACTAATGCTGATAGAAACTCTCTGCTCCTGTAACTAATTGGTTAATATTACATGGGCCAATTGTTCTTGTCTTTTGTTGTTGACTTTGTTCCTCTGTTTTTAATCAAGCCTTTTTCTAATATTCTACAGTACAAAATAAGTAATAAATATGCATAAAGATTTGTGCTAATATATCGGGTCAATATCAGCATCGCTTCGTTCTCAAAGATGCAATATTGGTATCGTATAGGAAAGGAAAAAGTTGTAATGAAACAACCCCACTTACTAACCTGTAGGCCTCTTCAAATTTTTTGATTACTGGTATCTCAACTATAGGTCAACTTGAAAGTTAAAAAATTATTAAATACGGCTTTATTTACAGACAATGTTATTCTAAATTTGCAAAATCTTTAGCGTCAAAATATCGTTAAAAATAAACATTAAAAGATCATTGAGTCTAACTCAATAAGCAATTCCAAAAGTTGGTTAGTTTTACAGCAAAAACGTGAATGTTTGCAGAACTTTTACCTTTTTGGAATAATTAGTAACTCACTGGATAAAGATTAAAGATTACAACTACCTTGTTTTCTTTTTTAACCGACTGCAAATATTGTCCCTTTATATAACACTTTGTTTTTCAGGTTTACAAAACAAAAAACTAGTTTTCCAGCTAAAAAAAAAGGAAGTATTTTTTTCTTTTTACAGTGTGTATCGGTTGAGAACCCTTAACATTATGAAGCAGCCACTGCTTTTAAGTGTTTTCTTTAAAACACTAGAAAAATATTAACCTAGCTAAACCCAGGAAGAAAAGACAACTGTAGCCGTTCATCTTGTCTGGGTTCAAAAAAAAAAAAAACAAAAAAAAAAACAGTATTTCTACTTACTGGTACCAGGTCCTTGACCACATACATGTGGGGGAGTGGGTAGATCTTGGTGGGCTTGCTGAGGTTGGAGTCAATCTTGTTGAGGCAGGCAAGTGTGTTTCCTCCGTTTATGTTCATTGCACAGGATCCACAAATACCTGATTTATAATAAAACAATATTTTTTCCCAATGGATGTTTAAAGCAATCATGAAACAAAATGCAGCAAGGAAAATACCTAGAGAAGAAATGAATGTTTTACCTTCTCTACAGGAGCGGCGGAAGGTCAGAGTGGAATCCATCTCGTTTTTGATCTTGATGAGAGCATCGAGAACCATTGGGCCGCAGCTGGATAAAGACATGTCAGCTCGTTTTCATTGAGTTTAAGGATTTTGTTCATCAGTAAAACTGTAGTTTATACGACACGCTGCTCTTAAAAAAATAAAGGTATATATTTCAGGAGCAAGAAAAACACTTTTATAAACAAGCAACAGACAAATTCTGACGCAGAGGACTGAGACAGTAAAAAATACACAAATTGATGTTCAAAAGTCAGAAAAATGTAATGACACCCTTTAAAATGTTTACTTCTACTTTTCTAAGACATTTAAAAAAAAAACTAAGAATACATCACATTTATTGGTGTTTAAACATGTATCTGTTTTTTTTAAATGATCTCAGAAGCCCCCACATGCTGTTATCATCTAGGTTTCCTTAGATCAGAGGAAAAGGATGAAGGATTTACGTGTTGAGGTCGATTTCATAGGTCTGCATGCGAGGCTTGTCTCCAGGTGTGTCTGGATCCCATCTGTATACTTGGAACTTCTTTATTCTAGGCTGAACTGCTGGAGCTGCTGCCGTCTGGGCATACCGCACTGCCTGGAAATACATAAATAGAGAAATACATTTAAAAAGTCACAACACGTAGTCTTTCTTGAAGAAAAAAAATCCACACAAAAATATATTTGAACATGTATTATTTGGATCCTCCTAGACATAGATCTCATCTCTACTAGTTTATTTGGTGTCACTAGCAAAGCCACTAAAAAGCAGTGTTGACATTAACTGTGTGTAATTTTCTTTAACAATACATTTACCCCTGGACCAGAGCTTCTATGTTTGCTTTCTCAAATATGTAGTCAGTCCCAGCAGACTGATGTCATCAATAAACCGGATTCTGCTGGAACCCTCTGTTTGGTAAAAGGTAAATTGTTTCTTTCCACTGTCGCCACATGCTTACTCAGTATTAGGAACAGCAACAAAGTGAATACCCCAATGCTTTGAACAAATTGTCGCTATGAGTCAATTTAATGGATAGTATAACTAGAAGTTAAATACAAATTTGATTCAATTAAACACGAGTCTGTTGGAATGATTATAATATGGATTGAATTAATGACATTTTTTTAGTTATGTATAAAGCTGAATTAAGACAATAGATAATTGGAATATGAAAACCATTAAAGTCAATTTGGCATCACTTTTCACTTTTAAGACAAAAAATTTTTTATTTTTATGCAATATTATTTTAATTATTGGAGACTTCTTTATTAACAAGTGCAGGTTCTATAAAGTTTCTCCAAATCTCTAAGCATTCCAGAATATTAAAAGTTTTCATACCTCAGTTAAGTTACTAAAAAATGAATAAAGCCTTTAAGTTTTCAGCTTTGATAGCAGTATACTTTAGCTAAAACCTTGTGTTGCTTGTTTTATTTTCTTTTTCTTCTTTTTGATTCTTCGAATTGACTGTTTAAGTTTATATTGGTTTTGTTTTCAATTGTACTTTTTGGAATTTTATTTTAAATTTGTTAATAAAAAGACAATAAAAAAAAAGCTTCTTTATACAGGTATTTAGCCTGCTAGCTTATAATGGATTGTAAGGCTATAGCTCGCATTATTGTAAGCTAACAGGTTAAGGACGTGGACAAAGAAGTTAGATTTAAGTTTCAGCGATTTTTGAGATTATTTGGTTTTCTTATAGAAAGTAAATTTACTTAAATCGATGTATAAAACATGCCTATACAACATGTTTAAAGCAGTTAGCAAGATCTCCTCAAAAGTCTCTTGCTAACTGCTAATCTAAACAATATAGCCGGAGCATTAGCAGGTAGAAGGTGTTACGCTACTTTGGTTAACAATTAGGTAAAATAAGTGATTATTTTTCTACAATAATGAGTGAAAGTATATGTTTCACCCGCCTGCTGACAGCTTACCAGCGGTCCAGCAGGGGACCGGAAAGCCAAGACCCCACAGCGGCTCAAGGACGAGAAGCTAGCAACCGACATTTTTTTCTCTGACCTCTACCGGCGGCTAAGCAGCAGCTAATGCGCCTGCGTCAGAAACTACTACAGGAGCGCCTGTTTTGTTTACCTCTGCGTCCCGGTTTATTTATTTACAGGGTAATCATTGGATTGGAACTAAAATACTCAAGTTTCGATTGTGTCGCGTTATGTATTTTCTTTTCTTTCGTGATTGAAGTTCTTTTTAAATAATAATAAAAAAAACTCTTAAACGAACATCTCTCCTTTGCTTTAGCTGCTTTAAAAACAAGCACACCACCAGCACCACGTGAACCCGCCGTGGTGCTGCCTCTTATTGAACTCGAAACTGTACTCAGGTGGGGTGAGAGTTTAGGTCATTTCAGTGATGTTTTTTATTTAATAATCAAGGAAAACGAACCGGCTGTTGGAAGAACATAATGGTATTTTTAACGCTGTCCTGCTGGATCCGCAACCGTGGACCAGACCGATTCTGGAAAGTGCAAGAACTCCTTAAACATGCTCGGGTGAGGCTCAGACTATTTCCTGGAGCTGTGACAATAAAAATATCTAATTCCGACTTTAATTATATGTACAATTCTCAGGTTATCCTTTCAAATGACTGTAAATAGGTCGCTGAGCTTAGGAGGACTGAACTAACACATGTTAACGTTTTTTTCGTTGTTTTGTCCCCCAGCACTTCAGAGGCAGGAAGAACCGCTGCTACAAACTGGCAGTGCTGGCTGTCAGGAGGGCTCTGGTCTATTCCACTAAAGCTCGGAGGTTTAAGAAGCACAACATGAGGAGGGTGAGACACAAACATGCAAGCCAAGGTCAAAATGCTCGTTTTAGGGCTAAACAGTTAAACAGTTGAGTCAGCAAAATTCAATGTAGTCACTTAAAGAAAACTAAAGTTGCACTGTTTGATTTATTTTGTTGTAAAATGTTAATAAAGTGAAAATCTCCTCCTTAAAATACACATATTCCTCTGTTAAAATCACATAAGCAACCAGAGTTTATTTGAGTGCTTTTTATTTATTTGTTTTTTTTATTTAGGAAATTTATCTTATACATGTCTTTCTATGTATTTTTTTTATAGCTGCCACAGCATAATTGCTTTAATTCTTGCAAAATAATTTTGTTGCAATCTTTTAATTTCTGAGACTAGGAAATCTTTTGCTGTCCTGAACAAAATGCACAATTATCACCATCTTCTCAGCAAGAACCCAGGGATGCCAGTGGGGATACTTCTCATTAACAGTCATAAAAAAACAAACAATCAAACACATGGTGCTTTTGAGGTCAACCCAATCTCCTTCTTCCTTTAGGTGACCCATAGAAAAGAGGCATCTAAATTTTTTCTATGTTGGAATTTCTGGAAAAATATTGGCAACAACAAAACCTAGATAGTCACTTTAAAAAGTGGATCAGGTCAGGCTGCGATGAAGATATTTTTTATTCAGTCATCTTTAACCATCAATCTGAAGAAAAAAGACTATTAATATCAAACAGTATCAGATAATTGAGAGAAAAATACTGAGAATAAGAAGTTGTTGAGGTTTGCTAAAGTAGCTCAACAGGATTTCTGTGGGTCATTAAATATCATTAAAGGTCATTAAATAATCTTTTTAATGCCTGAATCGGAATTAAAATTCATAAAATTTGATTATTTTGGCATTTAAAATGCTCTAGTTGAAAAAAAAAATGTTTATAAAACAATTTATTAAACGATATATATATATATATATATATATACAAACATATCACAATTTAATGTTTGGAAAAGAAGTTCGAGGCGGAGAGAAAGCTAGAGAATGTGAAAATGCTAGTTTCAGCAAAAGTGGCAGGAAATCGAGGATTTGCAGCCTGCTGACGGTAAAGTTAAAGAAGGAATTTGCCGTGTATATATGACAGTCATGGGTACTTGTTGATGGCATTAAAATTATTTCTAAGAACATTAAAAAGCATAAAATTAGAGTTGCTCATTCTTGTATAAACCCTGTTCAAGTATGCATTGCCACTGCATTATCCACTCACGCAAGCATTCAAGATGATAGCAAAACCACCTAATAAGCATTTAAACATTGCTACTAAAGGTTAAACTATAAAACAACCAACCATTGTTGTCATAGCTGTTAACCACCGGGATCACACTCCATGAAAGAATCTGTTAAGAAGATCTTGAAGGCCATAGTCATTAGAGTCCACACTAGTCCTGCTACAAATAAAGTTGTATCAATTTTTAACTAAAAGTTTTTCATAATTTATGTTTAGAATTTATGTTGGAACCTGTGAAAAGTTAAATTTTCACCATTGTCTAGTGATGGTGAGATTAGGCATTGAACCATTTGGCCAAATTGCTTCAATGATCCCCACAGTTCATGATGCTCTATGTGAACATGTCACCACCTACTGGTGGAGTGCAGAACTACCGTTAGTAATACAATCTGTGATTTATTTTGCAATTGTTCTTTTTTCTTTTTTCGTTTTTTTTCTTGCACGTCCTGAACCACTTCCCGAAGCGGTCATGTGGTATCAAAGGTAGCGAGTCTTCGGATGTCATAAATTTTGGCCCCTCCTCTAAATGAATCACGCCTTGACATGTGCTTTGTGGAAACGCCCCCTCCATTATTCAACACATGCCTCAAAGCCTCGGCTCGTCTTATAACATCACTACCATAGTCTTTACTAATGGTATTTTATTAGGGCAACTCTTGCACCTTTTTGTGATTTAATCATTCTAAATATTCAGTAGATCAGAAATAGTCTTGATGAAAATGTAAAAAAAAACCCAACTAAGTTGTGTCATAATGTTTCTCGATCTATATTCCCCTAATTGTGTTAGTCTTATGGTCATTCACTTGCCATACAGTTTTGTACGAATACTTTTGTAAATAATGCTAATATATTCCTTTTTGTCAGCTGTGGATCAGCCGCATTGCAGCAGGAACACGAGAGCACGGCATGAAGTATCCCGTCCTCATACACAACCTCACCAAGGTTTGTTGAATTGTTACTCCCCTGTCTGCAGCAGTCCCAGTGATGTTCCTGCACACACACTTTACTATGCTTCTTTTTTTTTTTTTCTACAGTGCAGTGTTCAGCTTAACCGCCGTGTAATCAGCGACCTGGCCATCACTGAGCCTCGGACTTTCCTGTCGCTGGCCAAACTGGCTCGAGCTCGTCAGCAGGAGGGTTTCCAGGCGGCGCTGGGAGATGGAAAAGAGCCTCCTGGCGTCCTCTCCAGGGTCATGCTGCAGTAGAAGACTGGATTCAGGAGGCAGATCTCCTGCATTGACTATGTTGTTCACAGGCATCAACTTGTCATTTCATTGATATACGTTACATATTAAATATTCAGATTTTTCTCATCGAAGGCAGGCTAAAGAGAGGACTCCCTGTATGTATAAAATGTCTTGCGTGTTGTTGATAATCTGATCAATGATGTTGGATTGATATTTCTGGTATAAAGGGACACTTTCGCACACTACCTGTGTCATTTATAAGCAATGCATTGTAGATATGGAAGAAAATGCATGTTCGGAAGAATCCTGTTGTTCGTCATAGGGAGGAGTTAGATTATGTTCCTGAAGGAAACTTATCACATACAGACATCAAGTAATCCATCTATTCCAAAACATGCAGTTCATTTCTTACTGAACAATATCTTCAGGCATATCTGGCTTTACAACTGTAAGCTGTAAGCTCTGATTTGATGCTTCTGTGGAGTTTGTTAATTTGTAAATAAATGTTTTATTTCTTATGGTGAGGAAGTGTTGTTATTGAATGTTTTGAGATTAACTGTTATTTTGAATGCTAAGATAGGATTCTGAAAAGATATTTAGAGAGAACGATTGGAACCCCAGCTTTCAGCCTTTTTGTTTATACATCTGGATAGCCGCTATCTGTTGGCTTCATCTCACCCTGCCATTAGAAAAGTCCTCTGTCACAGCATCCAGCTACATATTCCCCACATTCACAAGGTTTCCAAGTCGCTCCAATTTCCGCCTCCACACTCCTTAAATCCAATATTCCTCTGTGATGAACAAAAAACCCATAGTCTTACCTCTCTGCCTGTGTACAAATCCAATTCTCACCTCTGCAACCTCCAGCTCTGTTCCCCATTTTTCTTTTTATTAATGTCACCATCTTAACAATGAACATCCATTTAAAATAGGCAGTGTCTGATTCTAGGTAAAATTTACCAAATAAACCAATGAAACAAACATTGAGGTATTAGTTCATCTTTTGTTACATTAAGTGAGGCAGAACCAAGGATACCAACTGTGGCTCTGGAGACCCCAGATTTAGCAGATTAAAGCGTAGGGGTGCACTATTTCCTTAATTTTGGGAGATTGGCCGATACTCAAAACCGATCTTAATCACCAATCTTCTCTACCTCTACTGCAGTCTAATCATCAGCTACAATCAAGTGCTCTAAACATTTATATTTAAGAGAGTTGTTATCAGTTAAAACAAGCCTTTATGCTTCACAGATATTGTTCTTTTTTTCCAATAAGATAAGATTAAAACATTTAAGGTGTATTTTGATTCTGTAACTAGTGCTATAAAGAAAATCTGCTAGAAAACTGAAATTTGTGCAGCCCTAAAATTTTGATGCTTTATTGATACGACTGAAGCTAAAAGTGCAACACGTTTATTTTAAATATTGTTGAAGGTAAGCGTATGACGTAGATCCTGGTTTCTGTTCTAGTGCATATATTCATAAGAAATGTATTTTGTATTACATCTTAAGTAGAGGGGCAGGAACCAGTTTTACTGTCCAGATCTGCCCATGACAGCAGGTTTTGCCAACATAATTGTTTACAGTGTGATTTTTTTATGTACCTGTATTTCATTCACTCTACCTAAACGGGTACTTAAACTCATAGTTTCCCCCTACTTCTACAAAAACTGTAAACATGTGGAATAAATATTTTTTTAAAATTAGAATAAATAATTTTCATTTTTTGGAAGTTAGTTTCAAAATGTGTATTATTTTTTCAGTAACTATTTTCAAGCATGAACCTCAAGCCTGATGCAACCAAGAAAAGTTATTATGACCCTCAGGGGTTGCCGTACATGTTGTGGGAAGGATTTCAGTAGATGACCTCCACAGTTCTACAGCAAGAAATGAATTGATAAACAGATTACAAGTCAAAAAATTTAAGTTAAACTGAAAATACCTTTTATACTTGGATTATAAATATTATTGGGATTCCTTAAAAAGACACATTCGTTAAAGAAGATTTAGGTGTTTTTTGTTGTTGTTGTTTTTCTAGTTTACTTTTGTAGTTATAGGATATTGTATTAGTTCATTCCCGATCCACACTCCATTTCAGTTGGCGGCGGTAATGCACCAAAAAGTTGTTTGCCAACCGCCATAAAACACAAGAAGAAGAAGAGGAAGTTCTCCAGCCAATGAAAATAGGAAATACTCCCACTGAGCCAATCACCGCTCACTTTGTTCACCTGAACCTCCGCTACGCACTGCACATGCGCAGACTGTCTCGGCGTGTCACGCGTGTGGAGGAGGTTCGCTGACAGATCTGTAATCCTTTCACAGAACCGGCAGAACTGTGCTCTTAATTTCCTCCTCGGCACCATGTCGTGGCTGTTCGGACTGAACAGGGGCCAGCCCGAACCCCCTCCCGGTTTACCGGCGCAGCCTCCCCCTCCTCCGCCGGCCGGAGGCTCCGGCGGCGGCGGAGATAAACCCAAGGACAAATGGAGCAACTTCGATCCCACCGGGCTGGAGCGGGCAGCCCAGGCGGCCAAGGAACTCGACAAGTCCCGTAAGTGTTCCGGTGGGCTTAGGGTGGGTCCGATTAGCACAGGTCTGGGTTAAATTTATCAATGATATAGTTAAAAAGTAAAAACACAGCAATCTCCATCCTTTACGGTCAAGCTCAGGTGATGCAACATCTTAAATAACGTGTTCACACTAACAGCCTGCATCAGAACAGCCTGTCCTTAAATGGATCATCGATTTTAAGCATGAAATATTAGAATTAAGCCTGCACTACATCCACGTGTTTTCAGTCAGAGTGCAAAGGTCACAACCTTGCAGTGGAGGTTGCTGCAGAGGAATCTATATCCATGCACCTTTTTTCTATCACTTTATCACCATAAACTTTAATATAGTTTCTGGAACAGTTTGACACCAAATCATGCGTAATTTTCAGGTGGGATAACGTCATTTGTAAATGGTTTACAATGTTTATATATATATATAAATCTATATACACACACATTTATTTATTTATATATATATATATATATATATATATATATATACACAAACACACACACACACACACATATATATATATACACAAACACACACACACACATATATATATATACACAAACACACACACACACATATATATATATATATGCATGCATGTATGTGTGTGTTTTGAGGTAATGTCCACCTGTATATTATATTCGGTACATATCCAGCTGTAAATTTAGTTCATAACACTAGTTATCTATAAATTATATTCATCTGTTAGTAAGATTCTGTTTATAATGGTATCGATCTCTATACTTATTCAGTAGAAACCCATGTCCTGTTTTAATGGAACCATTATTTATCCTGCACTTGCTGCATTGCACTTCTGGTTAGACCTAAACTGCATTTCGTTGCCTTGTACCTGTTTAATGACAATAAAGTTTAATCTAATCTAATATATATATATGTATGTGTATGTGTGTGTGAAAAGTGTGGGATCTATTTGCAGTCATCCTCATTTACTCTAATATTCCTATCATGTCATCTCTTTCACTAATAAAGAGTTCACTAGCGTGTAATTTCAAATTAGGAGACGTGCTGCTCTATTCTGGTGGTCTCGGAGTTCTATCAGAGAATATTAGTGAAATCGGAGCATCATGAAGATGGGTCAAGGAAGAATTTCAGGAGGCTTTGATAAAAACGAAGAACAAACAAATAAATATAAATACAATATTTAGGTGTTTTTCAGAGACTGACACCACAGATTCCATGGCCTACAGTTCATACTAAGGAGAGCAGAAATCGGAGACCATTGCTGCAGTTCCTTTTTTTTGTTGTTTTTTTTCTTTAGATTTCATTTGAAATCCACATATTTTTTACCTCCCAATTCATTTATATCTGAGTTATCTCCAGTCCTCCATGACTGTTGTCCTGCATATATTAGATGAAGGTAGACAGCAAACATGGCCGCATCGTTACCAGGTTGCTGTAGAGCTTAGTGATGGGCTGTAGAGACGATCCATTGATTTTTCTCAGGGGTTGGAGCAGAGGCACGAGGACTGAGGTTGACTATATCTAGTCTGCGTTATAAATCTCAGTAATATATTGAAATCTGTGGTTGTAACGTGAAAAAATTTAAAGTGCAAGGTGGTACTCTACAGGTTGCTGAAAAAATGTTTTTATCGTTTAACCTAAAGTAGGAACATTTTGGAATTGTTTTCCAGCTCTGAGTGCAGAGAATAAACTGCTTTAAAATAAACTTTATTAATAGGATGTTTTTTCTTAATTTTACAATTTTAAAGATTAGACTTTCTTTTTTCCTGAAAGTCAAACAAGCTGCCAATATGTGTCCTTAAGGTGTTAAAAAGGCAAAATCTCACATTTCATGTTTTTATTCCCTCTTCATTTTATGTCACTGTTTCTTTTACATTTTGAATAAATTTCTGTCCATTTGTTCATTTTATAGTTGATCTATATAAATAACAATAACTGCAGCTTCAAATATAAAAAATCAATTTGCACTGATATTCAGTTTTTGATTATTATTTTTGATTAATAATCAAGTTTATTTGTATCGCCCAATGCAGCACATAGACCATTCAAAGTGGTTTACATGAACTAGATAATAAAATAGAAGAAATAAAAAGCAGAATAAAAGCAAATAAAGATAAAAAAAAATGCATAAAATAAATAAAACAATTGAAGCACGACCTTATAATAATAATAATACCTCAGTTAAGTTGAACTTCAACAGTCGAAAAGACGCCTTAAAGAAATGTTTATATAGAATTTAAACCAGGTGGAGCTTAATCTACAACTCTAGAAAGAGCTTATGGTTCTTTTATCTTCTAAATTCCAAACATTACTTTATTTAGAATTGTTAATTTACCAAATGTGTTTCTTTTTTAAATCAATGAAAAAATAATTGATAGATTAATCAATTACTGAAAGATGGCTGCAGTCCTACTACAGGCAGAATCCAGCTTAACCCTTTGTTTTCTCCTTCTGTTAGGACATGCCAAAGAAGCGCTGGAGTTGGCCCGGATGCAGGAGCAGAGCACTCAGATGGAACACCAGAGTAAAATAAAGGTACAGTGACACAATCACAGAGCAGTGATACATGCCAAGCAGTTTGAAGGGAGGCGAGTTGATTTGTTTTGCACCTGTTATATCCAGCCTAACTGCTGAAAAGTAATTAACCCTGTTAATTAGATTATGTTGCCAGCAGCTGCCGTTAAGCATTTGTAAAAGCTGCCCGTTTAGAAAGCTGTTTAAAAACATCTTTGGATGTTAACAGCATCAATGAAGTCATGCCTCACCATCTAAGTTAGACTTAAGGACTTTAAGTAGGTCGATCGCATTGATCATTTAGGGTGTGATTGACTATATACCCTAAAATCAATGCTTTGGTTAGATTCATCGACTTTGTTGGTGATCATTTCAGCTTCATTAAGGCGTCCCATGTGATTTTTTATTTTTTTATTAAAGGGTGGAAAG